CGCCAGTCCAACTCGGAAATCAAAGCATGAGAAGCAAGCTGCAGCTATGGAGCTAAAACCTCTCTTTCTATTTGCACACCCTTTCAGGCTGCTCCAGCATTACTGGCGTGCTCAGCGGCTCAGACGAGATCTCAAACAGGACGTCTAACACACCAGCCCAAACCCCACCTTGCGAACTCGCACCACAAGGCATCTTGCTTCAAGAATTCCGGGATGCCGGCCTAATGAACGTAGGCCACCTGTGGCACATAGCAACCACGGCAGCTCAAGGCGAGGGCTCAGGAAGCTGGTGGTCCGGAGTTTAAGGCTCCCTTTACCCAACCACTGCCGGCCACCCGGCCTGGTACTCCAAAAGGCGAGATGGCGCTCGAAGACCCGGGCCGCGTCGGAGACCCAAGCGGCCTTGAAATGAATCATGAGGAGAACCACGACTAAAGAATGGTAAGAGTAACGATAACCCTGGCGCCCTCGACGTCACCATCATCATAATCATAGTCATTACAATCATCAGTTGGCCCTTCATCATCTAGCCTCACATGAAGAAACTGTTGTCACTCGGCTAACTGACTGATTATCTATCTATCTTTATAAAATACATACATACGTACATATATACATACATATATGCCAATTTACATGGCGATGTTGACACACTCCAAATCTGCGCCCACGCTGCGGCCAGCTTGAATTCCTGAAAATTTGTCCGAATCAGGACTTGGATCAGTGGTGCAGAAAGTGCAGAAAGGCTGCCCGGGATGCCGCAGACTGAAGCAGAATGTCGAAATGCCGCCGGAATATGAATCGCAAATGTCCGTGAAACCAGGCGCTAATGGGCAAAATGAAGTTTTTGTCGTCTACAGAAGTCCTTTTGACGGTAAACAAAGGCATTGACATGATTTTGGTCGCAGAAGCCAAAGGAGAGCGGAACACTCAAACTATCATGACTTTCTTCGGATACCGAACACTAGAACCCATGGCGCCAAGAACCCTGTCCATCTCGCCTCAAGCATAAGCTGGTCGTAGCCTTTCGCTCTTGCTAAGTGAAACAGAGTGTGCTTTGAGTCAAGGTTGTCACCTGAACGGTGATGCTCCCGAGCCTGCATTGTTCCGCCAAATCGTTGTAGCTCACATAGCCTCGTCTGGCATGCCCAAGCCCAGAATTTCGCATTGTGTTGCCCAAACCTGACTGGATGGCCATCTTGCTGCTGCCGCTTGGTGGGATGGGCAGCTCAACTCCTGCCGTCAATGTACACCTCCTTACCTCTGTCCTCTCGCCGCACATTCTGCAGCGCCCGAGCAGAGCCGTCAGTTCAGGAGCGGAATGGACAGGAATGTCTTGGTCGGAACATGCGAGAGCCATGCTAGCACCAGCTGAATGACGTTTCTTGGAGTGCCTGGGTCACGGCTGAAATTTTGTCGGCCAGCCCTTCTCATCCGAAGCACGAATGCTTGAACTTGGATGCATAACCTTCTGGCTGAAGGAGGTGCACGAAGGAAACGGCTTCGCCATCTTGGTCTTCATGTGGACGCTAAATACGCATTGGACAACCCGTATCTGTGCGAGGGGATGCCTGGGCCCGACAATGGAAGAGCCTCACCCACACCAGTCGCTCTCGTCTAACATCCCGTGCATCGCATCGACCAGATATTTTTGACAATCACACTCGATTACTTCCGCTTGGGTCTCGTCTGGCTTGCCATTGTCGGTTCCAAAGGTCCGAATGCACCTGCGCGTGAAGTCTGATGCTTTGACATGACCTCACGGACCGATCGAAGGCTTCTTTCGCTTGGTAGTTTCGGTAGTCTCTGTTCTATCTGCACTGCAACGAACGTCACAACGCCAATCTGCAGCACTGTTGAGAAGAAGGTCTGCACTGGACGTTGCTGCGTGATCGTCCAGCGCAAGCGAGCTCTGCAGATGCTCTGCCAGCCACTTCCTGATGGTGGCCTTCGGCGCTGGGGACTGAAATCAGAAGGTCTTGGCAACCAGCTCTGGTGGAGCAATGAAAATCGGGAACGAGAAGATGGCCTTCCCTGATCGCATTGCTACCTACATTACAGAAATGTTCTCCACAACGAAAGTGCGAAGTTGAGTCAAAGCTACCAACCTGCTCGCGCTGGAACTGCAAGACTTGTGCAAGCGAGCTCATGGCACGTTGTCTCACCAAGAAACACGCGTCCGACATCCGACGTCGAACATGAGGTGGTGCTGCAGGGAAGCCTGGAAATCTGAGGCGTGGGCCCCGGAGAAGACACCACAGTTGGACCAGCAATCTTCAGCCTGGGCCACGGCAGTCAAAGGATCAGGAAGACTCCGAGCTCCGAAAGAACCCCCTAGGCAAACTCTCGACCGCATATGATATATGTAATGCAAACATATTCTGCATTCATTTGTTTCTAATCCTATTTGCATGTTTGTGAACCCTTAACCCTGGCCCTAGCTGCTCCATGATGCTTTCCATGTCACTTATCTTGAACTCACCATCTAAGAATCGATGAAACAAAGCAGCATTTGGCTTTCTGTTTTTCTCTCCGTTTATGCCAAGTTGAAAGCCTCTGCAGGCGACAAAAGGTTTGGGCACGCGGCGCATTCTGAACGGAATCGGCCTCGACTTCTTGGCCGCGAATCACCTCAGCGGAACACCACCACCGATCATTCGCAGTGGCAGATGCTAAGCTATGATAAGCTATGTGCTTCATGACACCATGTGCGCACAAAGCCGAAAACATGAACGTTCCAACTGCCCGCCGCGCGGCATACCGAGGCATTGCCGAAATGCTGGGACAGGGCCGACTGCTTGGGCCGACACAGCTCGGCATCGCCCTGAACCATTGCCCTGAACACGCATTTTGTGCCAGAGCCCGGAGCCTGTGTTCCACTCAGACGAGTTTGTAATGTTGCAGACTTGTCTTCCCTGAATCTCTAGACTCTAAACGAAGCGCAGAATCCCCAAGCCCCAATCGAGCAGGCAGTCGCCGGGCGTAGGCTTCCAAGCGCTCCAAAGTGTTTCCATCCTCACAGGCGCTCCGACGTTGGCGACTCTGTGCTGCTCCAAGACTCCAAGCAATCCCGATCTCCCTCGTCGCGAAGTTTGCGGCACCCCTCCCCTCCCCAGATCTCCCCAGAACCCAGAGCGGCCTTGGTGCCCGAACTGTCGAAGGTCTCACCTGAGATGCCAGGCCACAGAGGCCCCGGCCCACACTTGGCGATGGCGGGTGCGGGGCTGGATCAGGAAATACCAAGGCACAATCGAACGCAGCTTCCTGCGACCCAAGCCCATTACAACTTGCCATTTAATGCCAACTTGGTTGCAGATGTTGCGCTGCAGTGCAGGTGGCAAAGCCCTTGGCCGGGTCGGATCAGGCTCTTGCCCAAGATACCGAAGCAGCAGAAAACACGCTTGTCGACACTTCGGTCTTCTCAAGCTACATTTTCGGGGAAATTTCGACCTGCGCTACCCGGCCGAGCTGCTGAAGAAAAGAGAGGTCTGAAGGCCGAACGCCGAGCTCCTCAGCAAGCCACGCCTCGCCCGCACAGCCCACCAGAGTTGTGGAGTCTCAGAGTCTCAGGCTAAGGATGCTTGCAGGCTTCACCCTCAAGGCCCCCATGCTTCTTTCTGGCTTGGGATTTGCCGCAGTCGTTCCTTTCCAACTCCTTAATCGCTCCAATTTGCTGGTCTGCCTGCCATGAGTCCTCTTGAAATATCGCGGCCTCCACTCCTCTAGCATCGCAGTTCGATCTTTTCGATCTAACCAAATCCTCCCACAACCACTTCCTTCTGATAACCACTTGCTAAGACGGCTCCTAGCACAGACCCATCAGCTCAGGTCGAGCGGCTAGACGGGATGCATCATCCTCGGCAGACTTGCAACAACCACATGCTTCCGAGAATATGCCGATACAGTACGCCTTGCGAAACAACCTTCATCACCACATGGATAAGATTCAGATGTGGCCAAGCAGGACAACCAATAGGTCAGAAAACCTCAAGCCAAGCCGCAACGAGTGAGGAGGATGGAGGATACGAAAGGATTGCGGTCAACACAATTTCATTGTTCGAAGGGTTGGTGGAGATGCATGAGAAATCTGCATCCACTGCACAGGTCGTCGGGCCGAGCTTGGTTTCGAATAGTTGCCTGGGCCTAGGAGGAGGGGGCTCAACTTCTGGCAGCAGGATTCTTGAGGAAATGAAGGTGTGCGGCACTGCGCTGGGGTGTGGGCTTGTCTTCAATCCGTTCGTTCATCGACAACGGGAATCACCCAAGTCTGTTGTCGGTGTTTTTGGCACTCGCACTCGAGAGGCCGGCACACGGATGGATTTGGGATCCCGGGACTTGTTGGGTTTGGTCTGTCCAAGCATCGAATGCCATGTACTCGTCCAATTCCATGTCCAGCTTGTTGATGGCGGCATGATGCGCCCTCTGATCCATTCCTCCGTCGGTGCCTGACTGTGCTGGCAACTCACTGCGTAGAGTGAATCTTGACAAACGCAGATCTGGAAGGCGTATGTTGCCTACTCAGCTGCTGCTTGATGTTTCCAGATTCTGCGGTCAACAGATCGCTCAACGTAAACGAAGCTTTTAGCGCACACTCAGCCTTTCACCAATCCCACCAAAGGCTCCCCACATGGCCGACCAACATATGCGCTTCAGACCGACTGTGCTTTTGTCCGAACTTGGAGAGCCAAGCGGCTCACTGAAGCGATTGCCACGGCATCCAACGGGCAGAGTGAGCAATGTAATGAAAACGACAGAATGCTTTATTCGAGTGTCCAAGCTTGAAAGCAGACAACTTCACTTTGGCTGCACCATTGAGACTGCATAGCACATACTCCAGCTGCGACGACCTGCCATGCATCTCCACTCGCCTAATGCTTGAAGCCAGGTCCGCGCCGCATGGCAAACCGATCGCAATTACAATCCGAGGACTGGGATTCATGCAAGACGGTGCTGAGGCTAGCATTGCATCGACGGCCTAATCGTCGGGCTGAGACCAAGGCCCCGCGCACCAACCTGCGAATGGTGTACCTGGGTTGGGGTCTGTGGTACAAGAAGATCTGCAGCAGCGAGATTTGGCAAGCGCACGAGAGGTCTTCGCTGCCCAGCTTGTCACCTTGCAGTGCCACTGTCATCCCACGCCTGGGTAGAAAGGTGACTTCCATGTGTTAGACCAGCAAGCTCTTCAGCCGCTATCACAACGGCGCACATCTGTTTGTTTGCCAACTGGCTTCTTCGAAGGCACTGCGAGGATTGCTCACAACCCTAGACTCCCGGCGGCAACACCGCGTGCGAACACCTCAGGTGCCTTCGCAAGACTCGGGCCAGCTGTGCGCTAGCAAGGATACATGATAAATCCACCTTTTGCAACAACACTCGCAGGTCCGAGTACGAAGGCTAGAGGAGCTCTGAAAAGCATTTGGAGCGATGAGTCTTATCTGGAACATGTCGGCAAACAAATCGTGCGGAATCGGCTTCTGGCTCCCACGTTGCAGGTACTCTTACGCACTGCGAAAATCGGTGGAAACTTTAGGGAGTTGAAGTTTGAGAGCGACTATCCACCTTGCAACAGTTGGCCTTGGGCCCTTCGAATCCAAGTGGCGCGGCTCGGCAGCGCTTTTCTTCATCGGCCTGGGTCAATTTTGCTCAGCAAGCCGAAATCTCTTGGAGTCGCAGTCTCTGAGTCTCCTGCGCTTCCCAGATCATGGAACTTTTGTAGGAAGTTGTCTTCCCGCATTTTGCGTGCTGTTGAGGGTACGATCTTTGAGGCTTTTCTGTGACTCGGTGTCTGCTTGGGCAACTCGTCGCCTGTTGCGATGTGTTGGGAGGTTTGGGGAGTCTCATGCTGGGCAGGCTAGACTTGGTCCTGTGCAGCCAACACTCCCGTATGCAACTCGCATCCAAGCAGGCGAGCCAAAGGCAGTGAAATGAAAGGCTGATGTCAAGCAAATCCTAAGATGGAGTAACCAGCAGGCACAGCTAGCAAGGAACAAGAGCCATGTGTCAAAGCCGATGTGGCTGTTCTCTCCTCAACGAACACCAACGCATTAGGTGTGCGGGGACCTTTCAAAACTTGCAACTACAGCAAGACTTCGCGGCATTCTGTACACGAGTATCTCTGCGGAGGCGGAGGCACAGTCGCGGCGTATACTCACAACGAAACTTGCACAAAGGTGAAACAGCAGGGCGACCTTGTCGGAAGAAGGGCCCGAAGCACGTGCAACGCGGGTGGACCGAAGCCCTCTAATAATAGAACAAATTAGAAATCGAAAAAGAAAGAATGTGCATGCAAAGTAAGTGTGAGACTTAAAGCTCAGTTGGCGACAACACCTCGCCACAATTATGCAGTTCTGCGGCAACACCACTAAAGCACCGACATTCCTACAGCCAGAAGCTTGAAAACAGCACAGACACGTCCAGAGACTTCCCCGCGATTCACGCGTCTCATGGCCGGGCCTGGATAGCCACATGCAGGCGTGGCTTCATGGCTCTCGTAGTCCTCCTCGACCTCGCCTAGGACATGCACTGAACCATTCCAGCATCTACTGAATCTAGTGACTAGTGCTCCTAGTGTTCGATCTAACTAGCAGTGCAATTTTGTCAACCGCATCCGGCCGCAACGAAAGCAAAGCTATGCCTGTGGGCAAAATCGCAAGCCTTCAGTCTCAATCCCGCCTGCGAAACTCCTGCAGCTGGGACTGGCGAGCTCCTGATGTCGAGACTCAGATTCACGCTTACACTTTCGAGAGCATGATTCTCATACTTGATGCGAAGGTTGTGCGGAGCTCGGTCTCCAGACTGGTCACAAGAACCATTCATTACGGCCAAAAGCCGCCCAGGCCTCTCAAGCACGCTTTCGACATCGAGCATGCGACATTTGCGTCGCCGTACGACGTTTCCCTGGGTTTGTGCTACATTGTGCTACCCGCCCTTGGCCTCTGTCCTAAGGCCCCGCGGTCACTTGCAATGCAAAGTCCCCGTCGGGCTCCAGGCTTTTCGGCTCGCACCGAAGCAATCCTCCGATCTTCCACGAGCCAGGACGCCCTTCTCGGCCCCTCCGGGACAAAGCGGCGGTCCAGCACTTTCAGGGGTGACACCAGAATAGCCTCATTACGAAGGACCTGGAGCAAATGCGTGGTTTGGAAATCTACATCAAAGCTTGCACTTCAGTTACTTCCAGGTTCTTCTGTGCCAAACTCTGCTCCGCAGATGCTGGAGAATATTGCGCATAATTCGCGGCTCAGCAGCAGGTCTGCACATCTCTGCGAGAATAGCCACTGTGCTCCTGTTTCAAAGAGACACGACGACATGCACAAACCTCATCTTGCCTTGTAGATTGCCGCCTGCTGCATCACTGACACGTACAATGCCACAAATGATATAACCTCCTTGGACCTGCATAAGCTCAAGCGCAAGCGCCTCGCGCATTACCTGGCTGCCGACGGCATCCTCCACATCGGCCATGCAGGGCATTGATTAAGAATTGCTTGCATAAGCTCCGACTGATTGTGTTGACCAAGCCTTGTTTGTCGCGAAAACACGACAACTGGCAACCGTTGGAAGCCCAAGCTGGCATGCGCACTTTGGCAACTGCTTAACCCTAAACGGTTAGTAGCTTCAAAGTAAGCAGGTGAGCAAGGAGGTTGACTTGGTGCTTCTGGATTGACGGGTGGGGTCCTTTCTCGGCTCCGGCGCAGCTCGAGAAGAGTTCCAGAGCAAGTAAATCACGAAGGCGATGATCGCGACCTGCACATGTTTGTGCATGTCGTGCCTACCGCAAGGCCCCGTTACGACATAGAGGTTGAACCCGCGTCTCAATTTGATCTGGGGCGCTGGCGATCAGGACCAAGCTCACCCAGTCTGTCAGCGACAATGCCTAGCCAGTGTCTGCTCAGAAAACATGAACTGGCTCAGGTCATTAGCTCGACCTGTCTGACGACCCGTTCTTCCATGTCCGAGTTCACTGCGCTAGCAAGGTGAGACTTCACGCAGAAAAGACATCAAGCAGCCTTGCTCTTCCCGTCTGAGCCCTTCACAGCTTGTAACTTTGATCTGCGGCTTGCGTGCACAAGCTGGTGCACTTCAGCTGCAGCACCTCTTCGACAAAATGTAGACTGCGTCACAGAAATTCAAGCATTCCATGATGTTCCTGCATGCGGGTGCAAGAAGCAATTTCACGAAAAACAACGCAGGACTGCGAGAGACAGGCGACACGAAATCAAATACGTCACTGTCAAGAACTCGGCAAACATGCACTTCTGCATTTGGTGAATTGAGAAAAAATCAGCACTCACGTGACCAACGTTATTGGTGGATTCTTTGCCCTGCGTGGCATTTTCGAAGCAAAGCGATTCTAGACGTGGTGCCTACACAATCTAATGCCCAAACGCGGTGGGATGTTGCTGCCGACCCCAAAACATCCTAGCGAATGAACTGAAAAAAGGCTCATGAACGGAACAGTACTGCTCAAGCACTGTTGCCGCCGAATCAAACATATCCTAAACGATGCAGTGCACAAATGCCCGTGAAAGGAACTGGACTCACAAGGATCCGCAGGCATGTCAACGCTACCCAACGAAGAATCTGTAGGCCCTGCTGCCCAAAAAAGACCCGCCGTGGCGGCCAGCTCCGGGTGAGGGATGGCTCAAAACCCTCGAAAACGCCTCGCTAAACCCACCCCCTTCACGTTCTGAGGTATTGAACGAAGCTTCCGGCTGTGGAGGAGCTTGCTACCTACCAAACTGCTAAGCTGGGTGCAGCCATGAGAGCCACACATTTCATTTGAGGGTTCCTTCCACAACACAACTCGCTACAAACAGAAGACTAACAAAGTCGGGCCCAGGGCACACGCAATGTTGCAATTGCCAATGAGCCCGCACTATAGAGGAATCGCGCTGGTCAGGCACCGAGTTTCAAGACCTATCCGCGTGGCTCATCGGCCTGTCTGCAGCAAGGAAGAACTGTAGCTCGCAGCCGGTGGCACGTTGTCGCAGGAGCCAGAGGCCTACACCAGACATGAAGAGGATCGTAGGGTATGGAGCGACCGGTAGGGACGGTTCGGAGTGGTAGAGCACCGGGAGCTGGCGTGTAGGGAGTTGGTGTGGGGAGGGCACAAGGAGGGGGGATTGGGGAGGGAGGGATAGGACGTCGGCAATGGCCTGCGCTCTGCCCAGTGCTGCAAGAAGCAGCAGGCGGTATGGCAGCCAAGGCGAGGCCTGGCCCACGTCTACGACTCTACGACTTGTGGCTAAGAGGTCGAGACAAGGATCAAAGGATAAGCAAATGGAGCGAGGAGCAGATGCCAGCATCAGCTGCGTTGCATAGTAAGGTCTCCTTGGTTGCGTCGGAGAGGAAATATCGGAGACTACATCAGAGAGCTATCGGCTTGCTATGCATTCGCCGGCAGCAACCCACAGCAACGCTGGAGGTCTCCAGGATTCAAGATTGGCGAGACGAACGTGCTGACTTTACGTGTGTACGCACTTGGGGAGACAACCGACAAGCGATACATGAAGCGCATCTTCGACGGGGCCCTACATCACACAAGGAAGCCGTTCAACCCATCTTCGACACGATCCGACCACGCATAGAATGTCCGATGCTCGCGGACAAGGCAGCAAAAACAAAGATGCCACGCAAAAAACCCTGAACAGCGTTCACATGCCAGACCAAGTTGGTCGACTCTTAAGGCGCCACAACATGCAGCCTTCAGGCTGTTGCAAGCAGGGCTCATCAAAGTTTATGGCTTGACACACAGCAAGAAACTAACATGCTGAAGCCAAGCAGAAGAACCTTGCGTCTCAAATTGCACGACACAGAAACATACCATCTCAGAAAACACCAAGAGTCTGCAGTGGATTGCTGCTACACGGAAGCTGAGAGTAAGCCGAATATCCGACGGACACGTGCACATCAGTTGTGGAAAGCGGGCGCTTAACTCGCTAGGTGCCAACTACAATAACTACAAAAGCCGGCAAAGACGAAAAAAGTCGCATGTCCTCGTCTACCAAGCAAAGATCCTCCTCTGGCATGGTGTAGGACTCATCCTGTCACGGCACTCCTCAAGCTCACCTAGGGCTATCTGGCTGAGGGCTAGGGCATGCGCATTTCGTCGGATAATCTCGGCATAGTCAACCTGCTCCTCCTTCCGTCCAACGTGTACCCATACTGAGCACAGCTCGAGCTGAGTGCCAACAGCACTTCAACCTTTGAACCAATGTAGCGACCCTTGGCTATCCTCCTCAACCTCTTCCGCAGCGGACTCAATCTTTGGAGCCACAGGACTTCCCATTGCCTTCAGAACACACTTCGCAAGATTTCATGTGTACAGGCGTTTTTGCTGAACCATCTAGCAACGTAAGTTCGCGAATTCACAAAACTCGTAGGGCCGCGGAACAAGCAGCCGACACTTACAGCTGTGCATTGATTGCTCCCTCCTGCTGCCTAATACACAATCCGGCTCGATTCGGTGCGATGGTTCTGAAGCAAGTCATAGCGACATGATGCGACATGTGTGTTTCTGACTCGTCAAGGATCGTCAAAGTGCATCTTGTTGCCGTGCTGCCTCCTCGTCCACATCCGGCATATCATCCAAGGCGGCCTACAGGCACCAAAAACAGCAATGCTTGGTCAATGCAAGGCATCGATATAAACGCATTTGGAGTGGAGGACTTTAGTATGCCGGCGTCGTCGAATGACTCTCCACCTCATGGAAGTACTGAAACTCGCTTTAGGTACCGTCCTCACAAGGCCAATACCTCCAAAGACGGAGACATTCCGGCCCACAACGTTTACTTGGCAGCTGGCGGAGGAAACTTATGCCGCTCAAAGCAGGATCCCTGCACGGAACTCCGCACCTTGCTTTCCTCGCCAGCGCTCCCTGGCACAAGGCCACCAGCTAAAGGCATCTTAGATGACAAAACTGCCCCCTCCTGCAAAACACGTAGATATCCAATATAAACAAATATTCATATGTACATTCCTCTCGATACACACACACATATATATATATATACACACATACGGATACGCCATCATATACCTTGCCCCTGACCACTCCCAAAGGTCAACATTGACATTCCCTTCAAGTCACACGTTGTGGGTGGGTGGAACTTTCCCGAAAAAGGCCGGCCTTCTGCTTCGAAGCCCTCCTCGTCCGGAGGTCCCGTGTCGCTTTGGCTGCCTCCGGCACAAGATTTTCTGACACCTGCACTTCTGAGACTTCTGAGCATTTGTAAAGCAATGCCTTGCCTGGAGACTGCTCTTCAGCCTGGAAGCAGGCAGAAAGAGGTAGAATCAGGTGGAAAGATAGGATGTACACGCTTCGAAAATGGGCAGCACGAGTCTGATGTGCCTGCAGAACAGCCCCACACTGATCTGAGATGTCTTCACAGTCATCCGACACCTCACCAACAGTTCGGGTACAGTGACTACTTCGAGAATGCGATGCAACGGTAGCCAGAAGCAACAGCTGGGGACCCTGAGCTACAAACTGCTGGCTTCGGCAAGTTGAGCATGCCTGGAATACCGACCTGCTGGTGGAAGCACGTTTCAAGATGCGGGGATTGTAGACCCGCCAGATATTCTAAAGAGTCTCGTTTAAGTTCAGGATCCAACAATGTCAAAAACACCATGAGCTTTCCTGCCTGTACAGGCGGCGCATGTAGCTGCTGAGCATCGAGCAACGCCTCCTGCGCAAGGCTCCCGTAATTGCGCTGCACTCACGCTTCGGCCAAGATGTGCAAACAGCCTCTACTGTCACCTGAACAGGAAGCCCTCGCCACGAGCAGCGACATCTTGTGTAGCCGTAGCCAACGTCACAACCACTCTCTCTCCCTCGTTCCTCCACGGGGCATGAGGGGCTCAGGAACGCCCTTTGTTGGCTGGCTGCTCGGGTATTTGAGTGTTTCACATAAATGCCATTCCTCATGTCGGGCTGAGCCGACGCCAAATCCCGAAACCACCCAACCTACAACCAAAGCATGGACAACCCTTACCTCTAGAAGCGAGGCGGCGAGGCGAGTGTGCCTTGGAGCTCTTCTGGCTCTCTGCTGGAGGCCCTTACATATCAGCTGTGAAGCGACCAATTTCAGACACAGCAATTGGCAACAAACACGCAGGAAGCTTCGACAGGGAATTGCCAGCGGACCTTTCTACTGCTCAGACAAAAAGCACTTGTCAATGTCAAACCATCAAGACCTCGCCATGTGCGACCAAAAAGGGCATTTGGTAAGAGACATAGCAGGCTCGAGAAGAGCTAACCTTTTGCGAGTGGGGTATGATCTGGCTTAAAATGTAGACCATGCGCAACTGATGGCCTTGGAGCTTCTTGGCGAGCTGATGCAAAGCAGCAGGTTTCACGTATACGGCAGTGAAGGCTGTAAAAATGCATGATAATGCTTGCAGGGCACGCGCTTCAAGGTCGATGTTTCGAGGCGCCTGCCGAAGCGTGTCTTTCTTGAAGCTTTTGATCAATCCAACAAATCGACGCAAATGGCCCCCAAAGCTCGGATGACAGTGCAACAGATCAGCCCTTCAATTGTGTGGCCACGAAGGAGGGCAAAACTGCGGAGCTCTCGGCAAGGGCTCTTACACAACTTTCGAGGCGTGCAACCAGAGTCCAACGGGAGGCAGTGCCCAGGCCCTGGCCTCGCGGCCTGGCTCAGCATCGGGATCCACCAAGCCAGACACTGCAGACGCTGCACCTGCCGGGCAACCGAAGGGAGTAGGCATCGGCGGGGCCGTGAGCTCTGGGTTTTGCAGGGACTCCACTTCCAAATTCCCTTGCTCTTCAGCACAAGCCTGGGACCCGGAAGCATCCTAGTACTTTGCCTCCTGTGGCAGCTGGCGCAGAGCTCGGCCGCAGCGGCAAGCGGCCGAGAGGCAAATGGACCTCGCCCTGGCAGGCCAAAGGGATAAAAGACAATGTTGGGACGAGTCTCGGGTAAGACATCTCGGCGGAGCAAGTGTAGTAAGACGACTACACCACGTCGCGTGCCACATGCAAAATGCCTCGTTCATTTTACCGCCTCTCATGCAATCCAAGCGAGGTCCATATCTATGTTTGCTAGATTCACGACCTCTTCCAAATCCCAGAGCTTCCTGGGGTGCTGGGAATACTGCGGCTATCATATGAAATAGCGAGCTTTGGCTTTGGGCCTCAGTGAACCCTCAACATCCGGTTTACCGTTCAGGAGCTGTTAGTGAAGGATATCCAAACCGTCGACAGCACCTCCTACTTCTGCCGTATGGCCAATACACATGATCAATTCTTCTAAACTTCAATCATCACGATTCAGGTGCTGTCTGTGCGTATTGTTGTCACCGTATTCACTATATGAGACCTTAACTTAGCACATGTACGAGCTTCAGGAGGTCGGTCTGCACCGCAAGCATATCTGTTGCCGCATACGTCGCATACATACAACTCTCAACTCCCAACCCGGCGGCATCAGGCCTCCAGCTCCCCGTCTCCGAACAGCCAGCTCCCGTCCTGACACCATGGATGTGATCAGGTGTAGGCTGAGTCAGAGTCGAAGTCTGATGGATGGTAAGAGCCGACGATTGAACCGCGAATCTCGGCATCTCGCTGGCCCGGGCTTGTAAAAAACTGTGCCCTGCCACAGAAGACCTCCCGGTGCACAGCCTGACTGTGCCCTTCGGGGCTGCTATACCCAAAACGACCAGTGGCAGCTGTCAAAACGGTCCTTGTCCCTTTCTGGCGATGGAAACCCAACGGAATCCTGCACCAATAAGAAATGGACGGCAAAGTCAAGGGCACATGCAAATAACGATTCGCACCTGTTTCTCGGTCACAAACAGCCAAGCACGCCGGAAAGCACGCATGAAGTCCTGGCGACCCGGTGCGCAGAACTCAGAACACAGCTGCTGGCAAGCAAAGTATTCACAAGAAGTCTTAATCAGCCAAGCTTCCAAAGTGTGGAAATCCTGGCACGGCTCAATTTGTGTTGAAAGCTGGCAGAACTCCAATGTTTGGTCGTGGCAACCCCTGAACCGTCCCGCACGCAGTTCAGGCCCAAGCCCCCATGGTAATAGTAAACGAAAATCGTCAGTTACTTGCAGTGGGCCTCTGGGGTCGCTGGCACGAAAAGCTCCAAGAAGGCCCCCTCACTGACCATGTGAGCACCATCCCATCCTCGGCACGTTCACTAACAAACATGCGCGCCAGGTTTGCACATAGTTGCCTGAACCAGGCATTGGGTCCCTTGCCGAAGGTTCTGGCGGCTGCTGTCGCCAGCTCTCCCGGCAGCACACCCTCCAAGCTGGCATGGCTCCGTGGATGTCACGACTGACAAGTGGCAAAGCACATCTGCCTGGACGACCATCTGCTCCAGGGTTAGCGCATAGTCACCTGGTTGCACCACCCGCCATCGACTGCACATCTGCCACAAACTTGGTCGAGGCCTTTGACGCTGCTCTTGGGACCTCGATCAATTGCCGCCCTCTACGCCTTGGCTCTGCCGGCAATGACCGGGACCCTGGCTGGCTGCGGGGGAAGCCTTGACCAAAACCGGAAAAAGCACAGAGCTGGAGCCCCGCAACAAGTCGAACGGAGGCTCGGCAATCAGCTTGGTAGGACTTCTCTGTGTCTCCAATCAGGGCACAACGCTGACGCTGTAGCCACGCCTGCAACAATCAGGCTGACAGCGAACTGCAATTTTGTACGAAGCAAAGACTCTCCGAGCTCATGGCCTGCCTGGGTGCTCGGAGCCCTTGCGCGCCTCATCAGCGCCTGTAGAAGGCGGTTGCAAATGTGGGCTCTGAAACTGCTTAACCATGGGGAGGCCAGCGCCTGCAAACGCCTGCGTCCGGCTTCCGAACCGCTGTTCGATCCCAATGCACCCGCTAGCGACACCTCAGAGACTTGACCGGACTCCAGAAGACTCCTTGGGCTTAAACTCTCGACCAGGCCGTAGGAAATCAGAAGCAGGGTCGCAGGCCGGAAGCGGCTTGTCCTCGGCTGGTTTATCTTCAAAGCTGGCTCTCCGTCGACGGGTTCCAGCTGAGACCCAAGCTAACCGATACTTTATGAGCTCCGAGTCCGTGAACTGAACCTGGGCAACGCATTCAGCCAATCCCCTCCTTCCTCGTCTCTTTCGTAAGAAATGCAGTCTTCCGAGCTGCAACTGCTGAACAGCTCTGTGACTTCAAGCCCTTTTTTCTGCAACTCACGGAACAACATTCACTTCAAAAGTGACACCCCCTGCTCATGCCGATTTCAGGCCGTGGTCGGATCTTCGATCTTCGCCAACAACAAACATTTCGACCGTTGCTGCTGTAAGCTCCCCGCACGTTCAGTGATCCAAGCTTCGAAAATCCGCCTCGTGAGTGTGCCACGAATCCAAGAGGATGAGAAGCAACCATTCGTTCCCATCTTGCACACGCAAGCATAAACAAACGCAGAATCCATCTTGCTCGCAAACCTCATGGCCTAAAGGCACAGGCTGGCGCCAGTTCGAACCCCCTTGCTTTAGATTCCTCTCTTGCTTGCTCAAGATTCAGGGTGGCTGTATGGCTGGCGCCCGAACCCCCCGAAGGGGATCTCAACGTCATTGGTTTACTTTGCTTTGTCGGGGGCATGGGGAAGAGGCAGTCCCTCTTCCCCCTCGTCCGAGCGGCCTCGTCGACCATCTTGGCATGATGGGCGCGTCTCTACGAACTTTTCGCATAGCGCATTGGTCTTTCTCTTTCTTTCCCCACGCTTGAGGGCACGCCCCCACGGGAGCTGCCCCTTCTGTTGGAGGGCGCGCGGTGCTCTCTCTCGCTCACTCTCTCTCTCTCTCTCTCCCTTGCTGCGCCCCCGACTGTTGCGGGACGAACATGTTGCATGCAAGCCCTCGGCACCGGATGCTTTGTTTCGATAGCATCCCTCAGCAACGGAATACACCTGGATCGTAGCGGCCCACAGTAACATTAGAGAAAATCGAATGAAGATTGCAAGAAGTGAGAGTAGACGGTGGTGCATTCGTTTACATTGCTGCAGTAAGGAGGGGGGTTTTCTCCTCGTGCTCGGGCGCTCCCCGTATTGAATATTTTGACTCATGCTTGTCATCTCCGGGAAAAACAACTCCAGCTTGGTCAGGCAAAGCAGCGGCAGGGTCTACGGTAAGGGGGAGCACAGACCGAATGGGTGACATCATGCCAGTTTGCCCATACTCCCTACAACGTATGCAATGCTCGTGGGTACCAGCGGCTCAGCACGAAGGCAGCAACACCGAACAATACTCAAAACAGAAAAGTTGTGCAGGTTGAACTACGCCGCATACGGACCCTCTAGTAGGCGTCAAAGGTGTTGGCTGTTTGTCGCGAGCACGAGGAATCGGGCTAGCAGCTCCATCCATGCAGGGGCGTCCCCCTAAAGGGGAAAGCTTGTGCAACGCTGGGCGACTGTGAATTTCAGCAACCCGCAGGGCTGTTCGGTTTGTTGGCAGCACCCAAAGAAACAACACAAGGCAAGAGTGGGTGGTTAAGCAGAAGGTGAACAGGCTTAGATTTGAAGTGCATGCCATGTTCTAGCTCTATGCACACTTCCAGAAGGTACACTCTGCCACTGTGCCTAGTTGTGCAGGGCTCTATCCCGGGCAGCGACGGGGGCAGCAACAAATGAACAAAGACTGAGAAAAAAGAGCCTACAGTGTGGTCACTAAAACGCCCGAGGGGAGATGCCCCTGGCTAGCGACTAATGGCATCCGACCGTCTGGAGTCTGGAGCTTCAAGCTTATGAATGCCGGAGGTGCTTTGGGCACTCAGCAGTCAGTCTGCGTTCTCGGTGTCGTCGTCCGGGGTGCCGTAAAAGGCGGCGTGCATCCTCCTCCTTCTGTGTGAAGAAGTTCTCGCCAACCGTGTTGCCGCACCTGCATTGCTGCGAGGCCTCGGGCTCCTCGAACGGCAAACCTGTGTAGGCGCTTCCGAAGTTCCGCCCCGATCTCCGCTCCGCCGGGTATGTGAGCTTGTCCAACAGGCTCCAGGTCGTTCTCCACGAGATAGATGGGTGCGGCCCATATAGCTGTTGTCCAGCTGAACAGAAGCCCATGTGCTTCCGCCAAAGTGTCAGCTATTTCTTGCTCCAAGAAGGGGAGCAACCGTTCCAGCAGTGGTTGGGCTCGCAGTATTTGGTAAGGAGTGGCTTCTCCTTGTTCTGCATGGCTTGCTCGCGCTAGGCTGCCAAGATAACGTATAGAGGACTGTTGTCATGTAGCTCTCGGAAGTGTCCAGGTGGTACTGGTAGTGCGGGTGGTTCACGTACTTCAGGACGATGTGAGAGGCCAGGTACTCGGTATGGTTGTGGTCCACTTTCGCCTGTTCCCGACGAACTGCCAGGGGGGCCTTCTCTTGAAAGGAGGCGGTCTAAGTAGATTGCCGTGCGGTCGGAAGTCGCCAGGAGCGCCTGTATAGATTCATGAATCTTGGGGACCCCTCCCTCCTCAATCGCCAAGTCAAGGGCTGTTGTTTGTGTTGCCACATTCTTGATCCCCGCCGTGGCTTCGGCCCAAGTTTGCTCATGGGGGTTCCCCCAGTCCGTTGAGATCTGTCTTGATTTGTGAATGAGGTCCTGGATGCGGTATAAGAGGTTTGGCGTAGAGCTCGCGTGGGCATGTTCTCATGGTTCTCCAAGAAAGAGTTGGCGAAGGAGCACTAAGGGGTTAGCGCGCGGTGCTGGTAGTAGATCCGAAACTGTGCTGTTCAAATGCGGGTCCCTTGCCAAAGCTTGCCTAAGTCTGTTCAGTCTCGAGCAGGCTTGGTAGGCGAGGGTTGTGACATTCTCTCGCGGTTGTCAGAAACTCTGTTGTAGTAGAGATTGCAGGACGGCCTCGAGGTTGGCTAGCAGCTGACTTGGCCCTGCATCGGGGGGTAGTTGTGGGTGATCCGTCGACGAGGATGCCCCCTAGTTTTCGTGCCTTTTGTCGGGGTGTTCTTCATCTTCTCGGCGAGGTGGAGGGCGTCGTTGTTGGTCGCGGCCGGACTGCATCATGGCGTTGGTGTCGTCGTCGTTGTCCCTCTCATCTCCACTGGGCCAGCTGGTCTCAGACTCGGATCCCGTCGTCGACTCTGTTGGCTTCCATGTGTCGTGTGTGATACTGGCGGGTGTTGGTGAGGTTGTTCAGGCCGGTCGTGGCGTAGGGAGGTAGGAGAAAGTCGTGGTAGTTCCGGTGCAGAGTGGCTTTGGTGTTGATGATCTCGTCCTAGGCGTCCTTGGACTGTAGAGTTGCTTCTGGGGTCACGGTTCCCCCGTCCATGTCGTTGGCGGTCTTGTTGTGGGTGCCGGTCATGTCGAAGAGGTCCATTTGGGTCACGTCGTTCCCGGCGGCGTGGGTGGTCTTGGAGGTTCCTGCGGCGGCACAACGGAGAAACCTCCCAGCTTTTGAATGTCTCCTTCGAAGCGCGGGCGGCCACAGTCGGTCGTGTCCCCATTCCAGCCAAAAGGATTGCCCGGTGCTCAAGGGGATCCACCGCTGGGAGGCATCATGTGGTGGTGCTTCGTCTATCCATACAAGCCAAAACCTGGGCGTCCTGGCGTTCCCGAGCTCTATTTTGACCTGCAGGACGAATCAAAGTCAATCTGGAGTTCGGGGACAGGGTCGCCGCTTTCTCGATATGTCCACTCATGGCGTTGAAGACGACTGCTGTGGGCTCGTGACGGTGACGACGTGGGTGACGAACTGCTTCTCTACACCACCCCCTGCCAGGAACCATTTGCCGAGCCTGGTAGAGTCAGGATGTTGTTCGGGTCCACAGGCACTGCTGGTGGGAGCGTGGTTGGGGTTGGAGAGGTGAGTGTTTGCCCCAACACGCAATGAGCTCTGAAAGGCATTGTCTCCTTCTTCTCCAAGGATCGTACGCCTGGGCCTTCCCGGCTTCAGTCGCTTGCGCTGCTTTGGCTTCAAGATCACAGATGTTGGCTGGCACGGTCGCATGAGTTAACGGACGGCGCACTGGCGACTCAGAGCTCGAGCTAGAAACACTCTCTGTCTCTCTCTTCTGCTGCAGGGCTTGGGAGGCGGTTCAGGCCTCCCGGCCACATGGGCCCCCCATGTGTTATGGGGCTTATGGGAAGGCGTGAGAACACAGTAACTCCCCCGGTTTAAGCAAGGATAGTATATTGGACTTCGGACTAACCGGGTTCCTTAACTGTTGCAGAAACATGCAGGTATAATGAGCATAGCGTCGAAGTGGCTTCGTTCCCCGTTTTTGAAAGTACGATCCGCAGCTACAAATAACAAAACATCGATAGGGGATGCAAGCTCCACTACTGTGCCACATTCAATCTTGCATGATCTAGGCTGCTGTTGGGCATCACACGGGCATTGGAGGCTATATAAAATAAAATATCTGTCTCTCTCTCTCTCTCTCTCTCTCTCTCTCTCTCTCTCTCTACCGGGCGTGAAGACAGAGCAGCGTCCCGGCTCTGCCTTCGTGCGGTCTCGCACACCCGCGTTTCACGGGGTTTCAAAGGCCCTCATGAAGGTTATTCCTCCACAAGGCTCGGCTTTACACAAGGGTCCATGGGTCCCCCCCCGAAAACACCTAAAGCGCAAACAGCTGTATGTATCACAGGAGTTGGGAGGTTCCCCCGACTTGTGCCCCAGTTCGTTTTGAATCTAAAGTAACTGCACATGCCCCCCACTACACAAATGCAAACCTGGTCGAACTGCGGAAAGCTGAGGCCCGGGCCAACCTTGCTAGCTGTGGGTCTGTTACAAAGCAGAACAATCACGACGACGCTATATCAAATTAGACTCCCCGGCTAGTGGTTGGCTCAACTGTGCTACCTGGAGGGCATGTCCCCTCTGATTTCCGATGGGAGTGTGAAGAGGCAGTAGGGTATAAGGTAGTATCCCCCATCGGAATTCAGTAAGGGCCATGCTTTCCGTAAAGGGCGGCTTGGAGTCTGCGCCGTCTGTGGCTACCGCCATCGTCGTCGTCTTGACGACTTCTGGAGCGCTCCCTCTCAGTACTCGCCCCTCTCGAGTGTCCCCCGTCATGGTGTCCATGCCATGGGACGGTAGTCATGTCGCTCTCCGTCTGCGTAGGGAAGGTAGAGAGTTCCCCCGCTGCATTGACCGCAGCTTGTAGGCTTGGCGTCATTAGAGCCGCCATTTGAGGGGCAGTGAGAGCTCCCCCTTGGTCGGTGTGCTCGGGCTGGATCGTCACTTCCGTTGGGGCGTCGCGTAGCTCCTCCGTGCTGTCCCCGGGGTTCATGTTCTCCGGGATGTAGTCCACTGGCTCTGTTGGCGCCAGCTGTGGGGTTTCCCCCGTTTGGGTGCTCTCAGTGACGGCGTGGCGCCAGGCTTCTAGCGCGTGCAGCATCTCCACGATGGGTAGCAAAACGTGGTCCCCCACATGTGGGACTACGTTGCGCAGTCTGGTGGCTGCCCTGAGCAGCTGTGTAGTTGCCGACCCGGTCTGGCTCGAGCGAGCTGTCCACTCACCCTGTGCCTCCCCAGCCAAGCTGATGACATCAGCAGGATGGGCTTGTGTGGTGTCGGGCTCCATGGTGACTGCCTCCCCCCTCTTGGTAGCGAGAAGTGCGGCTGGAGCAAGGAGGTCATGTAGGGTGTTCCACCATGCCAGCGTATTCCAGGTACGATCTCCCCCCATGGCGGGAAGGATCACGTTGTCCACGCGGTTGTAGGCTTCTCGTAGGTGGTTGGCTGCTTTGCTTGGCGAAGTCTGCGGGACATCCCCCGGCATAGGTTCGCTCAGTTCCCCCAAGCCTGCTTCGATCATAGCACGAAGTTGGCTAAGGTCTGTAGCAAACTCTTCCGGCATAAATCCTTCCCCCCGGCGCACTCGCATGGAGGCAACGAACCTGTATGCCTCGCTGACTCCCGAGGGTCCAGCAAACGCGGCGCCTGTCCCCCGTGGCTGTGAGTGGGGGAAGTTTTCTGCGTGACTGAGCATGCGTAGTGCTATGGCGCAGATGTTCGAGATGATCTCCCCATCGTGGTTTGCGAGGCCGTCGGCTATCTCGTGTATCATCTGTATCTGGGCCACTGCTGATTGGATGGCCCCCCTTTGTGCCGCTAGGCGTGCCTCTGCGTCGGGGTGGTCAGTGGAGCTCCTCGCCCCCACATCCGGTGGGGGGCTTTCATGTGGTACTCCCCGTGCAGTCCTGCGGCGCCCTTCTCGCAGTTGGTCCCGGAGCGGGGTGCGTCTCCGTCGGCGGATTAGGCCCACATTCTCCTCGTCCGTGGTCGTGCCGTTGAGCTCCCCCTCCGAGTTGTGTGAACACGCCGTCGGGGAGCTCGGTGTAGTTGAGGTAGTCGTCGTTGTAGTGATTATGTACCCTTGTATCAGCTCGGCGGCATCGTGCTCTCCCCCTCTGTGTGGTGCGGGGCTTGGGTTGGCAAACCGACCATCACGTATTTGATGGAACCATGGTGTGGGCGTCGGTGGCTGTGGCTGCGTCTGTGCTGCCGCTTGTTGTGCTTCCTGACTGGATCGTCTAAGTGTGCGACCGTCCGACAGTGGATGTCTCGGCTGGGCTTGTTGTTGTGGTGGTGGCTGTGGTTGTTCCGGTTCCGGTTCTGCTGGTCCCGCGTGCTCTTCTGCCTGTGTTGGTGGTGGCTGTCCCCCTTCTGCTGGTGCTTCATGTTGGCTGTGGTCGTCGTGGGGTGAGTATGGTCCCCCTGGGGCGCGCCCTACGCGCTTCGCGCGCTTCGCGCGTTTCGCGCGCCTTCGCGCGCTTCGCATGGCTTCGCGCGCTTCGCGCGGCCTCGCGCGCTTCGCGCCTCCGCGCGCCTCCGCGCGCCTTCGCGCGCTTCGCGCGCTTCGCGCCTCTCGCACGCCTCTGGCGCCTCTTCGCGCGCTTCGCGTGGCTTCGCGCGGCTTCGCGCGCTTCGCGCGCTTCACGCCGCTTCGCGCCTCTCGCGCGCCTCTGGTGCCCCTCCGCGCCCGCTTCGCGCCTCTCGCGCGCCTCTGATGGCACCCCTCCGCGCGCCTTCGCGCGCTTCGCGCGCTTCGCGCGGCTTCGCGCCTTTCGCGCGCCTCTGGCGCCCCTCCGCGCCCGCTTCGCGCCTCTCGCGCGCCTCTGATGGCACCCCTACCGTACTGATTCCAAGAGCACCTCTGGTGTCTTTATGTGTCTTCTTGGGCCGCGTAGCTTTATGCCTCTTAATGCTTTGTCCAAGAAGCAGACTTCTGTGTCGAAGTCTACCCCCGAGGCCGAAATTGTCTCCCTAGATCATGCAGTATATAAGTTGGGCCTACCTGCTCTTTCTATGTGGGAGTATATGTTGGGCCGCCGTTTCCGACTGCGGGTCATGGAAGACAATGAGGCTGCTATTCGCGTCATTATCACCGGTCACAATCCTAACATGCGTCACATGTCTCGTACCCAGCGTATCGATATCTCTGCGCTGAATGAGCGCTATCACGCTGGGGATTTCATGTTCGTGACGTGTCCCTCTCAGTTCGAGGCTGGTGACATTCTGACTAAGGCCTGCACTGATGCGAAAGTATGGGGCCGCAACCTCATGTCTATTGGTCACTTTCGGAAAGGTACTCTTATATCCTCTGGTATGCTGTCTGCCGCCCCCGCTCTCCCTGCTCTCCCCTCTGTCTGTCCAACCAGGGGGGTACATCTCGAAACCGGTCACAGCCCCTTCAACGATTTCATCTTCGATATGTCTCGTCAGGGGGGTATTTCAATTGACGATGCACACCAATTTGGAGCAGCAATAAAATGCATTCATATCGGAGGCGAAGGCATAATCCGATTCCCTCATGCTCGAAGTATCAATCTCAGTCTCGATGATAATGCAAAAGGGATTGCTATTTCGAACATCAGGGTTCCGCCCACGCCTGCGGTATGTGTTGTCACTGTTCCGATTGCTGGCACCGCTAACAAAAGAGACGCTGGTTTCAAGAACAGGGGTTGGAAAGAAATGAGGGGTGACCTAAAGGAGAAAGGATGGGAAGCCAAGAAACTACTCGGGTGTGCTTCTGCTGCCCGATCATCCGGTATCCCCGTGTTCCTTGTGCTACCAAAGGGAAACCCGTTATGGGGTAGGGAGTACGTAAGACGATGGTCTGAATCGCACGAGCTTTGCCCTGTTAAGCTCTGTTCGTGCTCCTCTGGTCGATGTTCCCAGCATGCATGGATGTGTGAGATTTTCATGCCTGCCCGATTTGGGCCTATTTTCATGTCACGTTTTGCGTGCAATCACAAGAAGGCCAAGAGGGCCGACCCGAAAGAGCTTCGACTTGCTTTGTGGGCAGTGCTTGAACATTTCATGAACTCTGCGACTTTTGGCTCACAGCAATCCGCGATGCCGATTGCTTAAACAAAGACGCGAAGGCCATGTTCACACACACACACACACACACACACACTTGCACACTCACACTTTATAGCAACTAGGTGTGGAGCTCTAGGGACAACGATCATAGATCACTATCGTCAACCGACCATTACAGACCACCTCTACTACGACTCGATCTATAGCCCACTTGCGCTCCCTGCTAGGACAGGTTGTAGCTGCCACGGGCTGCGAACTTCTCCGCGCTGCTGCTGCCGCCGCTGAACGATGGGAAAGAACAAGCAGCTGCCGCAGCCACCGAAGAAGGCTGCTGCCAAGACGCCGGCTGTCCGATCACCTCAGCCAAAGTCTCCCTCGCCATGCGGGGAAGGCCTTCCGAGCGCTCCGAGTGCATCGGCTACGGTGAGGCCTCCTGCTCCACCGATTCCCACGGGGCAGGCTGACTCTGATATGGGCACCGATGAAGCCCCAGTTCCGACCCAGACTCCGAGAGACGAGTCTACCGGGGGCGGAAGACGTCCCGAGGCTATTCCGATAGGACTGAGGATGAAGGCGATGATGCTGAAGATCGGGGTCCAAGAGATCCCGCAAGCCTCAGTCTGGCAACGCCTCGACCAGCTGGCGTGCAACCATGGTTTCGATCAGAGGTTACATCAGCTGATTGACTCCTTCCTCCTCACTAACCATCCACTCGCGGATAAGCAGAGAAAGCAGTACCCTCGGGAGTTTATGGACTTCATCGACCGATATAGGGTGATGTGCGCTCTTGCGTTTTCCCGAGTGGCGACATTGTCAGGTGATGCCGCAGGGGTCCGCGAGAAAATGGACCTCACGATGGCCCTGGCTCGCCGCGTGCCTTCGCGCGCTTCGCGCGGCTTCGCGCGCGTCGCGCGCTCCGCGCGCCTCCCCGCGCCTCCGCGCACCTTCGCGGGCTTCGCGCGCTTCGCGCGCTTCGCGCCGCTCCGCGCGCCTCCACGCTCCTTCGCGCGCTTTGCGCCGCTTCGCGCCTCTCGCGCGCCTCCGCGCACCTTCGCGCGCTTCGCGCGTTTCGCGCGCTTCGCGCTGCTTCGCGCGCTTCGCGCCGCTTCGCGCATCTCACGCGCCTGTCGCGCGGCTTCGCGCCGCTTCGCGCCCTTCGGTTGGCTTCGCGCGGCTCTTCGCGCGGCTTTTTGCGCGCTTCGCGCCCTTCGCACGCCCCGCGCTTCGCGCGCTTCACACGCGCCCTTCGCGCGGGTTTCGCGCGGGACTTTGTGCGTGCATATATATATATATATATATATATATATGAGCCCACGTGCATGCATCCATGTGCGAAAAGTGTTGTTTCAACGAACGTATTCTTCATGTGAAGCTGCATACTCCGAACTTGGGACGTTTACCGAGGCTGGCCGGCTTGCAAGCACACGTTGGTCTGTAGTCGACTCGAAGTAGTTCCGAAATCCATATGGCGCTGTTGACCTCTAAAAAAATTTTGAACAACCTGAGAACCCTAGGAGGATCATGGGACTTATAAAGTATAAGGTTATAAGTACCTTAATTGGGGTTATAAGTAATTATAATTATCGTTACCTTAACCCAGCCTTGAGTGCTTGGCACCAGCTGCCCAAGCTGGCGAGCACCTCCTCCCGACGCCGGGCAAGTTCCTCTGAGCTGAAGCATGGAAAAGAAGAGCAAGAGCGCCTCATGCACCACGTAGGCCATGCGCTGCCCTTTCTTAGCAGTAGAATCAGCTGCAGTTAGTTGGGCAGGTCTGCGTGATTGCAACATGAGAACTCGCAGCTGCATGTCTGCCCAACCCGAGATGGACGAAGCAAATGGTAAATGTGGTAAGGTTACAATCGCTGCTGCTGATGTGTTTTCGACTGCGATTAGACCGTCATCGTTTCATGTTGACGCTTCTACCTTCACTTCACAATAAGCCAACCCCGACTCCACATGACACCTCCTCCACCAGAACCCATGAACCAAGACCCCAAAACCCTCTGAACAAGGAGCCAAGATCAAACATCCCCGTCACTGTCTTCCACGATGATCCGGGGAAATGACGTAATTATGCCAAGGACATGACACCTCCTCCAGCAGGAACCCATGAACCAAGACCCTAAACCCTGCAAAGAGTCCTGATGGGCGGCCTGTCGAGACCTCCATCGCCGCGACCTTTCGCAGTAGAACAGGGGGGCAAGATCAAACATCGCCGTTACTGTCTTCCACGAAGACCCGACGCTGGGCAAGTTCCTCTGAGCTGGAGCGCGGAAAAGAAGAGCCGGAGCGCTTCATGCACGACGTAAGCCATGTGCTGCGCTTGGATGGGGTGCTCTTAGCAGTAGAATCAACTGCAGTGCGTTGGGCAGATCTGCGTGATTGCAACATGAGAAGTCACCGCTGTATGGCTGCCCAACCCGGGATGGACGAAGCAAATGGTAAATGTGGTAAGGTTACAAGCGCTGCTGCTGATGTGTTTTCGACTGCGATTAGACCGTCATCGTTTCATGTTGACGCTTCTGCCTTCACAGTAAGCCAACCCCGACTCCACATGACACCTCCTCCAGCAGGAACCCATGAACCAAAACCCCAAAAAACCCTCTGAACAAGGAGCCAAGATCAAACATCCCCGTCACTGTCTTCCAGGATGATCCTGAGAAGCGACAGAATTATGCCAAGGACATGACACCTCCTCCAACAGGAACCCATGAACCAAGACCCCTAAACCCTGCAAAGAGTCCTGATAGGCGGCCTCTGCAGAGACCTCCCTCGCCGCGGCCTTTCACAGTAGAACACGGAGGCAAGATCAAACATCGCCGTCACCCATGGCCTTGCGCTTGGCCGTGAGGGCGTGGGAGAGCTTCGTCGCACAAGTTTCGCACAACTTGACAGTCCTGTCAAGAGAGCAAAAGTGCAAAGTCAAACTTGTCAGCAAGAAGCTGTTGTCCTGACTCCAACGTAAGCTAATTGGTAATTAACGTGCAGACCCGATGCAAACGAGGTCGACCCCCACCGCCTCGGAAGTGGCTTCTTCGCAGCTGCCTTCGCAGCCTCCAGCAGGCTTTCCTTCTTGACTTCGCGCAGAGCGCGCGTTTTGCTGCACAGCATGCATTTCGCGGCTCGCTTCACCATGACGAAGGCTGGCAGACCTGCAACTGAGAGAATGCTTGCGCTTTGGCTGGCTGTAGCTTGGAGCTTTGTCTCTGCGTGTATGCTGATTCGTGTCGTGCGAGGTCCTGCTTGTGGCACAGATGGCACAGCATTTCCTCATCTGTGTTATACATTGATCTGCTAGTATGGTCAACATGAACTGAGCCCGTTGACTACGTAGCTGCCCTGCTGTGATAAAACGGCAGGCACGAGTTCGGCGATAGCGTCGACTCGACGCCGCAGCTCCGGCGGCAAGGTGACATGCGCTGCGTCCCGGCCCGACGAATGTCTGTGGTATGTAGACATGCCAGGTGAGTGATTACAGGCCCTACTACTACCACTACTACTACTACTACTACTACTACTACTACTACTACTACTACTACTACTACTACTACTACTACTACACTACTACTACTACTACTACTACTACTACTACTACTACTACTACTACTACTACTACTACTACTACTACTACTACTACTACTACTACTACTACTACTACTACTACTACTACTACTACTACTACTACTACTACTACTACTACTACTACTACTACTACTACTACTACTACTACTACTACTACTACTACTACTACTACTACTACTACTACTACTATTTTCAATTGAACGCTGTGCGACCGGGCTCAGCACATTGCGGGCGATTGCCGCGGTGCACGCACTTGGTGTGAAACTGACTCGATTGACCCTATAATGACTGATATGCTCGAAGAGGCGAGCACCAGCTCCCTTGATGTCGTGCTACTTACCACTACTGCTACTGCTGCTACTACTACAACTACTGCTACTACTACTTGCGTGGGGATTTGATCTTGATGATGTTCCTTGTCGCTCACCCCACCGAGCTATGTTGGGTAATGATGTGGTTGCCCTCTACAGACTCGATCACTTTCTCTCTCTCCCACGTGTCAGCTTCACTCCCTGTGCAGGCAGATCCAGAGCTCGCTTGTTTTGTTTTGCACCTTCGCGGCCAGCGATGGATCGTCGTTTTCTTAAACGGATGAGGGGATTTCATACATACATAATAAATACATACATATATAAATCACCACAGACACACATGCACATACACATGCGGCTTCGCGCGAAGCGAAGCGCATGCAGGCTGCTGGCGTGGCTTCGCACGTGCTTTGCGCGGCTCGCGCCGGCTTCGCGCGGCTTCACGAGAGCTGCTTCGCGTGACTTGGCGCATGCTTCGCGCGCGCATCTGGGTATATGTTTCGTGCGGCTTCGCGCACCAGACGCCGGCTTTGCGCACCTGCGTGCGCGCACCTTCGCGCGCGGCTTCGCACGGCTTCACGCAGCTTCGCGTGCGGGCTGCTTCGCGTGGCTTCGTGCGTGCACCTGCGCGCACTCTGCGTGCGCACACCTGCGCACGCGGCTTCGCGCGGGCTGCTTCGCATGGCTTCGCGCGTGCCCCTGCGCCCGCTCGGTTTCGCGCGGCTTTATAGCGGCTTCGCGCGCTTCGCGTGGCTTCGCGCAGGCTGCTTCGCGAGGCTTCGTGCGTGTGCGCGCGCCCGGCTTCGCGCCGCTTCGCGCGGCTTCGCACGGCTTCGCGCGCTTCGCGCGGCTTCGCGCGTGCTTCTTGCGCCCGCGCTTCGCGTGCGCTTCGCGCGGCTTCGCGCGCTTCGCGCGCCTCGCGCCGGCTTCGCGCGGCTTCGCGCGCCCGCGCTTCGCGTGGCTTCGCGCGTGCTTCGCGCGCCCGCGCTTCGCGCGGCTTCGCGCGCTTCGCGCGCCTCGCGCCGGCTTCGCGCGGCTTCGCGCGCCCGGGCTTCGCGCGCGCGCTTCGCGTGTCTTCGCGCGCTTCGCGCGGGCTAGTCCCGTCCCCAGGGCGGATCATTCTGCGTGGGGTCGGAGTGGTGTGGTCTCTGGAGTGTAGAAGTGGGCTGGTGTGGTTGTGGTGAATTGTATGCTCCAGTGCGTAGACGTGCGGAGCAGGAGAAACTGGTCCCCCACCTGTAATGCCAGGCTCTGATCTTCCTGATGGTGGGTTGGTGGTACTTGGGTGACGGTGGCGAGCCAACGGCGTTCTGACACCGGCTCAAGCAGCAGCCAGGTTTCGCCACTGATGGGCGGGTAGACCACAACGGGCATGCTTGTTTGTGGTGGTGGTGTGGTTCCCCCGCTGCTGGTGGGGACGTCTCGTTGGTACTCTATCCGGCTGAGCCACTTTCCGGCTCGTAGGACCGTGTGGGAGACAGTGGTGATGCTTGAGTGAGGTAGTGGTGGTGGTGCTGAGTGTTCCCCTCCCAGTGAAGGAGGGCGGGGTGGTTGTGGCTGCTCCCCCTGTGGTGATGTATGGCGTTTTGCTGGATAATAGCTGGTGGCGGCTGCAGGTGTGGGTGCGGTCCCAGTGTCACCATCGTCTGGATGCCAGTGTGGTGTGTATGTGTCTGCCTTAGTGGGTTCCTGTTGGTGGGTGGTAGCGGGATCGCCGGCTTCTGCGCTGGGCTCCTCCTGTTGTGGTTGAAGGTGAGGTGGTAGTGGCTGGCCCGGGTTGAGCATCCGGTAGTAGGCTGCCCTTTCTGCTAGGCTTAGTTGTGGGGGCTGCCATGCGTGTTGGGCCGGGGCCACGTCGGCCGGGGGTGTGTTTGCAGGCTGGTGGTGGGTAGGCTGCTGTGGTGAAGACGGGCCTTGGCCCAGGAGGTGTTGTCCCCACCGTGTGTGGTGGAGGTTGTTGGCCTTTAGCCACCGCTTGATGCGATACTTTTCTGCTTTGTTTCTCGTGCGATCTGGGCCCCCCCCTTCATGCTGCCGGTGCTGTGCTCGGGTGGGCTGCTGTGGGGCTCTGCGTTGCGAGCTGCGCCTGCGTGGTGTGTGGGTGTCGCCTCCTTGATCTCCCCCGGCTGTGCTACTGTTGCTGGCATCTCGGCCTTCATCAGTGAAGTGAGGCAAGAGTTCTCGCTCAATATAGCTGGCGGGGATTTCCCCGGTGGTGATCCATACGTAGTGTTCACGCATGGTCATTCCTGGGATAGCACGCGTGCCACCAGGCGGCAGGCGTGTGCCCGTTACCGCTTCAAAGGGAGCCTTGACGTTGAGGCGCGGCTGCGTGTCCCCCGTAGCTGTGGGTGTGGTCTGCGGCTGCTGTTCTCCCCCGCTGGATGGGCTTTGTTGCGTGGCCTGGTTCGCGGCCGCGTCTGCTGATGGTGGTGCGTGCTGGCCGTCGGCTTGTTGCGTCGTAGCGGCTGGCTCAGGTTGTGGTGTGGCTTGTGGCAGATGGGCGCTGCCGGGGTCTTGAGTAGTCTGTGTCTGCTGTGGCATCGTCGGCGTGGTGGGTTGGTAGGCTGCCCAGGGGTCAGTGTCGGGGTTGTATGTGCTTGCGTAGGCCACACCATGGGGGCCGTGCGGCCGGATGGGGGCTCCTGTGGCTTGTGGTGCTTGTTGTGGTGGGTCGGTGTCGGCTGGTGGGTCTATGACCTGTCCGGAGGGGTCTCGCAGGTTCCCCTGTGCGTCGTAGTATGCGAAGCCGTGGTCTGCCGCCAGCTGCGCTGCCGTGTAGGGTTGCTGAGTCGCCTGTTGTAGTTGTTGTTGCTGTTGTTGTTGTTGCTGGAACATTTGGGCCAGTCCTCGGGCCACCGTCCTTGCTGGGTTGTCCGGCGGTTGGCTCGTGAGTAGGAGGACTCCGGACCGTTGGCTCAGCTGTGGTTGTGGTTGTGGTTGTTGGGTGGCTGTTCCACCTGTGGTTGCTTGCTGTGGCGATTGCCATTGGGTCCCATCAGTCGGCTGCGGCTGCATGTGTTGTGATGGGGGGGTTCCCCCGGTGACCGGTGGATTCTGGTAGGGCTGTGGCCATGGATCCGTGTTCGGATCATATGGTTGTGGTTGTTGCCAGTGGTACTGCTGTTGCTGTGGTTGTACTGCCGTGGACGTGGATGCCTGGGCTTGGTTTTGGGTGTGGTGGTAGTAAGTTGTGTGAGCGGCGTCGGCTGCGGGCTGGTATACTCCTCCGCTGGAGGCTGTAGCTTGTTGCGGGGGCGTGCTTGCTGTCGGCTGATGCTGTGCGCTTTGCGTAGCTGCAGGTGTGTGTTGGGCCCACGTGTTTGCCCCTGTTTGGTAGTCGGCCCCGTGGTTGGCTGCAGGTGTGTGCTGCATGGGCATGTAGCCCGCCGTGCTGGGTAGACTTTGTGGTTGGGCATGTCCTGGCGGGAGATGGCCTGCTGCTCCCCCTGCGCGGTGCTCTCCGGTGATTGTCGGAGGAAGTGTCCCTCCTGCTGTGGCAGTTTGCTCAGGGCCTCGTGGTGGGAGTGGCCCTGCTCCCCTCGTTTGCCGCGTACCGCCTGGTTCCCCCATGCGGGTGCCTCGCGGCGTGTTCCCTCCGGACCAGTCGTCTGGGCCGTAGTAGGTTGCCGACCCCGTCGGCGGGTTCAGGAAGAGCAGGCTCCCCGCTGCAAGGCAGAGTAGCGTAGTCCCTTTGGAGACCACGGTGAAGTCTAGGAAAGGGGGCTTTGGGGATCTGAGCTGTCGCTGCTGCAGGCGCTCTGAGATCCGTGCCGCTGGCATGGTCGCTGACTGGAGGCTGCACTGCAAGTGACATGACAAGTGGGCAGGCAGGCATGCACAACGACATGTAACTGCTCTCTCCCCTCTGCTGTATGCGAGTGGTAGGTGTAGTCTCTCAGGCCGTCCCTTCCCATGCTACCCCTCCACTGAACTGCTTGGTAAAAGCGTGCTTTCATTGCCGAAGTGCTGGTCTGCTTGCCCTCCCCCCTCTGTGGCTGTTTGGTGTGAGGTTGTCTTGTATGCTTGTCTGCTTCCCTGTCGCCCACGGCACGTCGTAGCGCTCAACAAAGGTCGTTGACAAGGTTTGCCAGTGTGCCCGGTCTTGGGCTGCTTCCCCCCAGCGCGTTCCCCCGATGCTCTCCAAGGCTCTCTCGACGTCGGCCTCCGGATTGAATCCGGCTGCATGGTTGACTCTGCTGCTGCGTGGTTTGCGTTGTTCTTGGCGCCAGAAGTCCAGATTTTTCCACTGGACCATGGCGTTGACCTCGGCTCCCCCTCTAGCCATGTGCCCCCAGAGGGACCAGATTTGCTGCAGGATGTATGTGGACCAGCGGTTCCAGCCCCCCCGCTGTAAGTGGAGTCGCGCCATCCGGAGCGATCGGATGTGCCAGTCCGCCCACTGTTCGGTGGGCCGCCTCTCTATGTGCAGCATGCGCCGCAAGTGTTGTGCTTGCAACGAATTTGCTGCTTTAAGTATGCGCTGGTTGACTGGCCATGTTTCATCCGCATATAGCGCTGCCGATCGGACTAGCGTGGTGTATGCTGCCATTCTTGCTTTCAGGCCCGTGCGTGCGAGTAGGATGCTTTTGTGCTTGGCGAAGGATTGTCTCCCCCGTCGGTTCATTTCTGCAATGATCGCTGCCGTCTGCTCCCCGAAGGTAATGGGAGAGCCCAGCGTCGCGATGACGGTTTTGTGATCGGCGCACGGGACTGTGGCGTCCCCTATTTGGAAGGTGCCTCCCCCTTCTGGCTGGCTATACAGGATAGCGGTCTTGGTGGGGTGGATGTGGAGGCCGTCCTCTGCGAGCTCTGTTTCAAGGTTCTGTAAGAGGCGCTGTAGGTGGTTGCGGTTCTGCGACCAAAGATAGGTATCGTCGAGGAAGCATCCCCCTGCTCGGCGCGGGCTGGGGCCCCCCTGAGCATCGGGACCCTGCTCGGGGTCGCTTGGATGGCGGCTTGGAGGTCTCTGGCAACAATTGCCCCAAAGAGATCTGGGGAGTCTGGGCTGCCTTGGCGGATGCCGTTGGTTTGGGGCACTGGGGTGATGGTGTCTCCCACCGCTACATTGAGGGTGCGGGTTTCGAGAATACTGAGCCACATGAGGGCCTCCCAAGGTTGGTCCCCCCCGCCTGCTGGCACTGGGCAGCGCGTGGATGGTATTCCCCCCACACGTGAGGCAACAAGCTCACTCATACTGTGCTGCCACACACTATCAAACGCTTTCCGTATGTCCAGTTTGACGAGCCATGTGGGGACGCCCCAGTCTTTCGCCATTTGTGTCACCCGCCTTATTGTCGCAACCAATTCCACCCCTTGCCTGCCTTGCCGCGCCCATTGGAGTCGCGCCTCCCCCCTGATGTTTGCTCCCCCTCTTGCCAGAAGCAGTTGTGCTGCCAATTTGAGCAGGGTGCTGCTGAGGGTAATGGGCCGTGTGTCTGTCCATTCAAGGGGAGTGGGCACTTTGGGTAAGAGCACCGTGATCCCCCGATCAATGGCTTCGGGGACCCTGGCCGTGTAGAGCATGTCGTTGAGGACGTAGGCGATAGTCCCCCCCCATTTGTCGTGATAGAGTAATGCTTTGGTGGCTTCGTGGGAGATGCCGTCCGGTCCGGTGCTTTTGTTGCTCCCCCACCGTTGGGCTGCAAGCTGTAGCTCTGCAATTTGGAAGGGGCGCCACGGAGTGAGCTTGCATTTGCGGCGCAGTTGGTCCCGCAGGGTTGCAATGCGCGCGCTTCCCCCGGGGGGCAGGGGTTTGGCAAATATGGATCGCATATGTTTATGCAGTTGGGTCTGCCAGTCTGGGTTGTCCTGGAGGTGCAGCTGCCATCCTCGGTGTGTACGGGCTTTCTGGACAGTACGGAGGGAGCGCCAGTCGAGCTGTGAAGCCTGTTCGGCTTGTTTGGTGTGCCATGCTCGGTGCTCCTGTTTGTGGCGTTTTGCAACAGCCTTCCACGCCAGTCTGGCTGCGGGGCCGGGTCTGCACTGTTGCGCTGCCTGTCGCATCCCCCGAAGCTCGTGGCTCTCTTGGAATTTGTTGTGTCCACTGCGGGGGGTGGTGATTGCCTTGGCAAGCGTGGCGAGGATTTTGTGCGGGTCTTCTCCCCTGGGGGGGGGATCGCGAGCAGTTGCTCAAGTCTGGGTCCCCATGTGGTACGGGTGGAGCCTCCCCCTTTGTGTGCCCCGATGGGTGCTGCCACACCGTCGTGGTCGGACGATGCTCTATCGCGACAGGGGATGACCTTCCCAGCGCCCGCCGTAATCCCCCGGACCATGATGTAGTCCAGTCTGCGCGGTTGCATGCTGTGGTTGTAGGGGTAGTAGCTGGGGATGTGGAGCTGTTGTGGGGGTAGTGTGAAGCCGTGGCGGTTGGCCCAGTCCAGGATGGCCTCCCCCCGTCCTGAGGTGGCGTAGCATCCCGAAACATGGGTGAGTGGTGGGGTGAAGGTCTCATTGGCGTCCAAGCCCAGAAGGCAGCGCGGGTGGTCCCCCAGGTTGTTTTCCCATTCGGCCAGTATGTTTTCAGTCTGTGGAATGGTCGCGTGGTGCGGGATGTGTCCCGCATGTGCTCGGACTGTTTTGTTGCTAGTGAGGCTCTGCAGTGTGGTTGTAAGTCCCCCGGTACAGACGTGGCTTCGGTGGTGTGTGTATTGCTTGGTTTGGTGTGCGATGCACTCCCCTCGGAATTCCCCGATGCATTTACCATACACTAGCTGCCATGTATCCGACTCTGAATGAAAGAGGCCTGGGTCGCAGATGATTTCCTGCACCAGGACAAGTGTAACGCAGTTCAGGTCCGGGCTGCCGTCGAAGGTGTCCAGGAGTTTCAGCAAGTTGTCTGCTGTCAACCCCCCGACATTCCACGCCATTGCCCAAATTTGGCCGGGCATCTTTCCCCCCTCGGCCTGGGGGTGAAACGTTGTCGGCTCATCCGCGGCTCAGTTGATCTCCGCCTTAAGCGGAGACCATGTGGCATCAGTGGCTTCCTTGGTGGTACGGGTTGCCTTAGCGATCGCGGCAATGTCCACCCAGCCAGGCCCGGCTTCTTCGGTCCCCCCTGGCCGTGGCGCTGTTGCTGAGCATACCTTGACGCTGTTGACCCATGTGCTGCCGGTGCTGAACTCCATTTGGAGCGCTCCTTTGTCCCCCCCTAACGTGAGGTAGAGGCGCTTCACTTTTGCTGCGAGTCGCGCCCAATCGTGCCATCGGATCTGCTCCCCAACTGAATGTTGGCTCCCCGAACTTTAGAGATAACCTCTTGGACCCGAGTGCGGCGTTGCTCGAAGGTCTCCCCCATGGGCTCGTCGATAGGTAGGATGGCGTACCCGCGCCGGACCCCCGGCACGAAGAGCGTGGCTGTATCGATGGGTGCCTCCACCGACTTGAGAACATCAAGGACTGCATCTTTGGTGTCGGAGGCCGAGGCGTCCGGGTCCCATCCCCCGATGATCGGTGCTGGTTTGCGGGCGCTGTCGGACGGGGCAATTGTGCTGCCTGCCGTCGACGATCCCCCGCCCTTTTCAAGCCGCTCCAGCCTGAGATTGACTTCTTTGTTCGCCTCCTGCAGTTGTTGCAAGATGTCCCCCTGGTGAGTGTACTTCTGAGTCATGTCGTCCAGGAGGTTTATCGTTTGCTGCATCTTCCGCGTTACTTGGCTTTCCACGTTGTCAACTCTGGCTGCAAATCCCCGGATGTCCTGCTTGACCTCGGAAAGAGCGTCTTTCAGTTCTCCCCGGATGGCTTCACGAATAACATCCAAATGGGAGGCAAGGCCCTCCCCCTGGTCGGCTGCTCTGCGTTTGACGGGCGAGTTTCCCGCTTGGTCCACCGGCATCTCGTTGCCCTGTGTGTTGGCCATGGCGCTCCCCCCAGGTAGTTTGCTAGGTCGCCGGACTGCAAGTAGGGCAGCAAACGCGCCCCCGAGGTACTTTACGACCCGATGGTCTTGCGGAGGATCGCTCCGATGTGGTAATCCCCCTGTAGGGTCGCCAAGCCGTACCGATAGTGGTAGACAAGGTCCCCCGCACGCCTGGGCAGCGGTTCACCTGGTGGAGTGTTCGCGACGATGTCGCGGCCGTCAGCGATGGGCAGGTACTCGCGTAGTGTTCCGATTGTGGTTTGGACGGTTATCGCACTCAGGAGCAGGACTCTCCCCCTCAAAGGCTTTCCCTCAAGCGCCCCGGGTTTGCAGGCCCTCTTCTTTCTCAGGGCACGGCCTTGAACCACTCACGGCCTTGAGCCAAAATGGCAATAAAATATCTGTCTCTCTCTCTCTCTCTCTCTCTCTCTCTCTCTTCCACACAGACAAGGAGGGGGCAAGACCCTTCCACACACACACTTGGCTGAGGGGTCTACGACGAGAGAGTGAACTCTCTTTGCTTTGCTCTGGGGTAAAGGCCACAGGCAGTCCCTGTGGCCCGCACGTCGGAGCAATCCCATCCCTGATTCTCAAAGGGTGGGCTCAGCTGTATAGTATCGGGCGCCCCGAAGTTGCGGTACCCCGCCCTTGCTTGCTTGCTTGCAGGGCGTGTGGGGTGCAAAAATGAACCCTGCTACCCCTGCGCGCGAGCGCTACGCCTTGGTTCGTGTCTGGTGTGAGACTTTGGCCCTCTTTTGCTTTGCTCCGGGGTATGGATCCTGGGCAGTAACTTTGGCCCTCTCTCTCTCGCTCTCTCCTGCTTGCTTGCTTACGGCCATGGGAGAACGCACCCGTGAGCCCCCCCCCGGAAACACGCACAGCCGAAGTCATTGATTGTCACGCGTGGGTTTCAAGTCATTGCTGAACGCCTGGCCCTTGGTGGGGGAAATTTGACCAGTAGCAGAGAAAGCTGGCATCAAGCACAATGCACACAGACGACAAGTGGTCCCCACTGAGATGTTTGCAAGAGCGGGACTGTTTCCGGTGGCACACTTTGCTGACAGTCAATTGTAGGAGTTCTGAGGGTCACTCTCTTCAGCAAGGCATAGGGGGCTTGTCAGACCCTCAGGCCACATGGGCCATTTGTTATGGGGCATTGGACGAGTGTGAAATCTGATTGAGCCCCCCCACCGACGTCACGGGATTGTATTGGACTATGAAACCGTTGGGGTTCTTCAGACCTAATTGACACGTGCATCATTGGAGGAGCACGCATAATCTGTTATGTGCTATACACATGAGGACGTCGTGACTGGGTGACCGTGTCATCAATGCAACGAGCCTACATGACTTGTAGTACCAGTGCAACTGTGACCTCGCCTGTCCCCCCGTACTGTATGTTTGCCAAGATGTTCTGTACGTCGACCGCTCCACGGTCTTGGCCTCATGATACTACCTCTGCCCAGATCAAAGACTCATGTTCGGCTACCTTCATCACTGCAAAAGACAACAGAGCGAAGAAACAATATTGAGGACAAGTACCGGACCCGAGTGTACTGATCAGGAAAACTTCAAGTTACTCAGCTTCTTCCCTCACCATGGTCCCCCATAGCTACACTAAAACGATAGCAGAAGGTCCCTGGCATACTTGGTGTGAAAAGCGGAGGATTCCACTCAACTCTCGGTCACAAAGCCCAAGGCAACCAATCGTAGATCAAAGCAAAGCAGCAAAGCAAAGCAAGGAAGATCAGAGATTAAAACCGTAAGTTTGACGCTCAGCGGAAAGGCAACACTAGAACCCCCAGGCGCTAGCGGACCTTTTGCTGGACCTGACGCAGGGTCGGTCTTGAGCAGTCAAGCTGCGTAAGTGAGACAAAGTTGGCGAGAATCCTAACCAGGACACAGAAGCACATGTACGCATGTCCGTGACAAATCACACCCCCCTCGACGCGAGCTCACGCGTGAGGAGAGCGGAGTTTAGGAAAGTCACGTACACTGATTGTGCGCCGAGCCACACCTCTTCCGGTCAGCTAAGCTTAAAGCAATAAAGAACCATTAGATGTGGGTCGGTCTCTGCATCCGGATCAAACCTATGTTTCACTTCTGTACATACGCAGCCTTTTTGTGATCGTCAGGCGCATAGCGATTTGCCGTGTGATCGTTGGCAATCGGATGTTCCATCGGATCTATGCGGGGGTAATACACTAGACTCAACGCGCTCAGAGTATAGACTCGGCAGCATCGAGTGTCCGTGAAAAGAGAGGGACACACGAGGAAAATACCATGGCTAGCCATTGTACCCCTGTTGGTCTTCTCAGCGCGGCGCAGGCAAGGAATGCTGAGGAAGTAGCGGAAATTGTGTCATAGCCGGGTTTCACCATCAGAATCCGCCTGACCCCATGGACGTGTAGAAATTGGGTCAGAAAGATTCAACCGGATTCACCTTGCAGTGACACAATGCATCGCCACGTAGGTCGACGGTCGTTACCTACGAGTGGTGGGGCTACGGGTGCGGTCCTTACTTCCTCGCCCGGAACGGCCCCTTCCTCGGTTTCCCTTATCGCCCTTTCCTCGGCCTTTCTCCTGCTTTCCTTTTCCTTTCTCGGCTTTCCCTTTTCCTTTGCCTTTCGTCGGTTGCCTCATTGCATCAGCTTCATCGATGAGGCCTGCCACGTTGGATCCTGTTCGGGACTTGCCCTTGGCCGTTGTCTCTTTGGCCGGACCCATCGTACGAGATCGTGGCTCAGACGAAGCAGTATCGGAAGGAGGAGGCGGCGGGGCGTCTGTTGTTTCAGCAACGCGCTGTTGTGTGCGCCCCCGCGCCTCTGCATTCGGAATCACTCGACCCGGTGCCGGTCGCACGATCGAAGGAGCCCATTTGTCATCGCGGGGCACCTTCGATGGTGGATTCGATGCAGTGCGATTGCTTGGCGCCGGGAACTTTGGGTTAATCCGCTCTTGTGTGGTAGCGGACGTACTCTCGGGCGAAGCACCTCCCCCTGTCCCTGCATTCGCGGCATTAGGAGCAGTCACTCCAGCCGCCTTCATATTTTGATCATCATCGGGATTCGCATTCATCGCAATAATGACGCTGGCGGCCTTCTTCCTGAGAATAGGAAGCGTGTTCGGTGAATGATACATGCGAATGACTTCCTCAATCGTCGGATTGTCCAGATCTGGTTCCTGGAGCCGAGTCCTCATTCGCAGTACCGAGGGCAGCTTCATCTGATCGGAATATGGTGCCCTCCCTGACACCCTCAGTGTCTCTCCATCAGGGTGAGCAGCGCCGTAGCCCGATAGCCGCTGTGTCTTTCGAGTCGGTAGATTCGATGGCGGCGGCATTTCGCGAGGCGGGGGCGGATTCGTCTCAGGGGCGATGCCTCCGAAATGCTCCCGTCCTCGGCGCTTTGGCTTCGGATCGGGTCGGTTCACCCGTTCCAGCTCACTATCATCCTCATCCTCTTCTTCTGGCGGAACGGGAATGGTATGAGCTTCGGGAATCGATGTTTGCCTTTGCGCGGTGACCTGCACTCTGCGCTGAGGCGTTTCACTGCGTCGTTGTGCTTGGCGAGCTGCAACATCGAATAGCTCGTCAGGCTCTTCCAGTTCATCGGGCATAGCCTCGAAGACATCATCGTCCCTTTTCATCAGAATCGGGTCAGTGCTCTTAGCATCAGGGAGCTGACCCTTCACTCCTTCAACAAGAGTGAAGAATGTCTTCTCGGTTTCGCGATCCTCATCGAAACACTCCTTTATCTTGTGAGCGTGATCGCGAACAAATTCCTTGAACTCCTTACGCGTTTCATCGGGCGTATCAGGATCGTCAAGGAGTGCGGTATTCCCCTCCTCGAGAATCGCGAATCGGGGATCAGCATGGTGCGGAATGAGCTTCCGTCCCAAGGGGTCCAACTCACGCCAATTGATAGCTTGAACGTTGGGGTCATCGTCCCCTTTGCCTTTCCCTTTGGGCTTCTTAGTTGCCGCAGCGGCTCCCTCAATCTCCTCTTCTTCATCGCCGGAGATGTAGCCAGGCTCACCTTTTATCGGGATGCCGTAGCATGTTGTCAGTGTAACCTTGGCCAGGAGCGCGGAGAGGCTCTCACTATCGACACGCATGTATCGCTGATACTTTTGCGTGTCCGTGATAGTGGCACGGAACTCATCCAACGTATCAAATTCGGTGGAGAGTCGAATTCGCCGTCTCATCTCCAGATTGGCGTTCTGCAGAGGCAGGTGCGCAAGACGGATTTTCTCGGCCATATCTGGATCGACGGTGTACTCGATTGTCTCCCCGGTGTAAAAGGGGGAGAGATATCCACGCGACAAGCAAACTCGGTAAGCGCGTTGGCAGTGGATCGACCATCGTGCATAGTAGCATAGTGGCTTTTCGCGGCACGTGGCGAATACCGCCCCGAAGTGCTTGACAATCGTGGTTGCACATTCGATTGACTGCGAATTGAAGAAATCTTCCACGCCACATCGAGCCTCTTGCCAGTGATCCCGGCAACAAGCCTTTCGATAGAGATGTCCAAGCGAATGCCGCCTTGAATCGTTCCGCGCACGCTCCTCTTGAACAGTTCCACTTCAGTCGGCGATGTGTCAACTGCGGTGCACTTGATGGCGGCACCCCGAAAAAATGCGGTCTGCCTATGATCCTCGGCGAGAGACCTAGACACCGGGAAGTTCCTCAGCTGTTTTATCGCAGGATATTCGTGAAGCTGGAACTCGGTCAGCTTGTTTCGTTCGATAAGCTCGTTGAGCCACACAGCATGACTTCCGTAGTATTCAACCTGGAAGGGATTCACAGGATCGGCATAGAACATCCCGTCAGGATAGTGAATCGGCTTAGTGCAAGAGTGGCACATATGGAGACCAACCGGGAATGAAGCTCCGCACATGGGGCAGTCGAAGCTAGCGAGCGGCCACGTCTCCCGCTGGTGCTTTCCTCGCTCGGGGCCAGTGCCAAACTTCGTACCTCCGATGTATTTGAAGGCCGTGTTGAACACTAGGGATCCCGAGTCCATGAAGTATGCTATCGGCATACAGGCGAGAGGGATACTGTCTTTGATCGCGTAGTATCCTCTCGGATGGAAGTTAATCGGATTGATACCCGCCGCGACCATGTGCAAATCAATTGCGAACACGATCATGCGATTGGATCCCAATCCTTCAGGGAGCATTGATTGTGTCGACGCGGTATTCGAGAGCGTCTCACGCTTCGGGTTCATTCGGACGTTCATGTACACCTCTTCCCACTCGTTGTTGTTCCCAGATCCGGGAGCATACGGGAGCAGGGTGAGGAACAGCTGTCCCTTTGGAGGGTTGACATTGCAATCGCTCATGTACCCGAAGAATTCGCGAATCGTTGCGCAACCCCATCCGTATTGGGGATGATGTCGGGCCACATTCCTCTTCCTCTCGCCACTAACATAATGGTCTTGAGCGAGCTGAACGAACGGCCCGTGTTGGCACTTGGTCAGCAGTCGGAATCGGTTAAAATTATCAAGGGCCGAAACCGTAAGTTGCTCGGATGCCAACAAACTGAGGTCTTCCATCATCGTTGATCGTAGAGTAGAAGAACTCAAACATTCGATTGTTGTCCGTCCGGGCAATCTCCATGATGCATTGAAGAGCAAGCTCGGATGGTTCATCGTTCTCATCCAGGACATTTGTCTGGAGAAGAATCCGGCCACTGGCTTCTCCGGCGTTGGCCTTCATGTATTCCCTCTCACGCTCCATGTACATCGGGATGACATCGAAAGCGATGATGCCACTCTGATCGAAGTGTGAATACAAGGGAATGCCCCTCTCACGATCCTGAGGGCGATTCTGCGGTCCACCGGCAGTAGGGGAAGGATACTCCTTCGTTTGTGTCAGCACTCGGAACATCAGCTTCCGCACCAAATTGATCATTCCTGCGTCCGGAATCGTGGCAGCGGGAATGTTTTGTGCGTCGTCGATAAGCAATCGACTGCATGACACAGATGTTCCGCCGACAGATCGGTATTTGGCCTCTCTGGCATTGTAGGCCCGGACAGCGTCATGAATGTTGCGGCAATCCTCGTAAGACTCCGGTCGGAGGAAAGAATCGTGATCCCCTTTGACAGGTTTCTTGTGAAGTGCCACGTTCAAGTACACTGTCTGATTCGAGGAGAGCATGGCGAATCGTCGCCTCGAAAACTTGCGCTGTTCGTCGGTCGGTGGGAGGCAGGTCGCTGAGACCAGTCGGCCATGGACAGAGTCATCGATGCCCATGTCGAGTCGCGGAACGACGAAATCCGGTAGCGCTATCGGAACGGACGACATCTCATATTGTACTACCGGTGCTATGGAGTCGAGGCCTCTCTCGGGCATCTGGTCGGGGCGATGAATCGTTGTCGCCTTGATACCAGGGCCCTCGATTCGGCAGTTTCTCGGATCGCTCGCTGCCTGATCAGCGGCAGTACTGGCTGGATCAATATCGATATCCGGCCCACGAGCACCGGAGAGCACGGCTCCCTGAGCTTTCATCACATTCGCAGAACTGGAACGCACGCCGTGTTCCGGTGGGTTTTCAGCGGTTCGGGCAGCTGGCGGCGGGGCCTTGCCGGGGACCTCGTCTTGCAGCTCCTGTCCGCTACCCATTTCGGCATCCTCCTCATGTTTCTGCTCAGGCTTCTGATCGACCGTGTCATCCTCCATATTGCTATCATCGTCATCCTCCTTTTGCACTCTCTTCGGACGCCCTCGGAGGTGCTTCCGCTGTTGGCGGAGGAGGAGGAGCCACGTTCGGCGGAGGAGGCGTCGTCGCACGCTCAGAAGCGACACTAGCCGGCTCGGTGGACGGAAGATCGTTGTCTGCCGCACCTTCACCCAGGCTACTCATGGCGCCAGAGGCATCACTGCGACGCGAGGAGGAAGCAGCAATCGATCGGGCATGCTTCTGAAACTCGCTCGCAATGAACCCTGCAGTGTTCCGCAGCTGTACCGCGACACTGCGCTGGAACTGGGACAACCTATCGTCCCCAGTTCGGCTGGTGGTGCCGTAGCTCAGATCATCGGTGAGTCCCATCAGGCTCTGTACCGGATCCTCATCCGGCTTACGGAATTCGGTCACCCGTCGCTGCATAGCGAAGCCCGGCGGCAGCTTGAGGTCTTCTCTCGTCAACCTCGCTGCGGTATTGTTTACCAGGGCTACCCGCATGGACTGAATGACTTTTCCTGGGGTAGGCGCAATGAGCTCCGGCCAATCATCGGGCGTCGGAACCTCAAGGTCCTCAGGTTTGAACACCATCTGTTCGAAGGACATCGCACCCATGCCACGGTGTCGAATGGCAATCTGCAACGACTGGTAGGTATTGAGAAGCGATCGAGCCATACCATACGTTGAGGGAATGTGTGGATGGAACACAGAGAGGGTTGACATGCTTGCAACCACGGCATCAAGGTTGGAAATGATCGCACCAACCTTGGCCTCAAGCTCCCCCCTGTTTCCATACTCTGGGGTCCATCGTGCATCGATTGCTGACACAGTCTCACCAGTATCTCGGTTGATAAGCACAGGCGTAAATCGGTCGCTGGCCATCTCCCTGATGAGATTGCTGTTCGATTCGACCCGACGCCTGCCTTGGGCCAACCGGTTCGTGACAGCGTCGAGCGCATAGTCACCCGGAGGGTACATGGCACCCTGGAACACATTGTCATCGCTAATGTTCGGGTCCATGATCCTGGCGAGCCCATCGGCAATGGATCGAAGGTGTTCGGCGTTTTCAACGCCTGTGGCACCCTTCGCCACTTCAGCGATATGTGCCTTCATCTTCGCAGCCTGCTCACGGCGAGCCTCAGCCTCACTGACTTGGCTTTCGCAATGAGCATAACTCTGGCGGTTCTCGGTGGTGGGCCCTGCGGCTTCCTCGCCACCGATCGGCTTCGGCTTCTTCATTGCGGATACGGGAATCGTCGGCACGGCAGGCGGTCGAGCGGCATCCCGATTGGCCGCGACAGTTCGCTCCGCATCACGAGGAGTAGGCATTTGCTCGAATGCATCAGTCATCTCTTCGAGAAGCTCATTGAACTCCTCATCGGATTCCTCCTTCTTGGCCTCGGGCATTGCCGTATCGCCATCCCCTTGCTGTTCGTCATCATCGGAACTGCTGCTAGATTCCTCATTGTTCGTAGCAGCCGGGGCAAGGCCGGGCGACACAGGCATTGCCTGGCCGGGCACAGGAGTAGCGGGCAATACAATCGGATCTGGATGACGAACACCCGGAAGATCCGCCAATGTCCCCGGCTCCTGTTTAACCGGATGCTTGGTCGCAGCTGGAGCTATGTCACCGGCCATATCTTCATCATCGTCCTCATCGAAGCCGAGCTGACTCATATCAACAGTCTTCGTGGGTCCATGATCGGGACCGCGATCTGCTCCTTCGATTAGGTCCTGCACCGTGGAGTGCACAATGGCCTTCACCGCGCCCTTCGGCCTTTCTTCTGGGACTGGGGTGCACTCCCACATCTTATCGGCAGCGGTCTGATACTCTCGGCGGGTCCCATAAGCCATAAGATGGAAATCGCGCGAGAGCCGCAAGCGTGAACATCGAGCAGATACGAGTACACAAGACCCCAATCGTCTTGGACTCGTGCATGATGTGATATCCCCTCAGGAACGGCAGCCCCTCCAGGATAGCGTCAAATGACAGGGTGAGGAAGTTGGACCTTCTGATCGTGTCCCAGATCATCCTCATCTCCTCTCTGTATTTCTCGAAGAGATGGCCTGGCAGAGTCGGAAGGTATCCCATGCTCGGAGACACTGGTCCGCAGAAGGACACTGATCCGTAGATCGTGTTGTACTCCTCGAGAGCATCCCGTGCAGTCGACTTGGCGTATTGTGATCGTGCCAGATCGATGTCACCGGTAAGCTTACTCCAGCCCTGGTCCAGCTTCCACAAATCCTCTCCTCTCCAAAGGATGAGGATGTGCACATTCGATGGCGGGATAGAGGTGTCGCTCTGCATCAGCGCAAGCGTATCGATCATATCCTTGAGCTTATAGCCCTCATCGAACGCCTGCACGCGCACCTCAGATTCCGGGAATCCGAAACTCGTCAGCGCGCTTTTCAGATGGGCGTTCATCTCACCATCGTGCCAAGATTTGGCGGCCCTGAAGGTCAGCAGACCGTCGTGCATGACGACGAACCTCTGCGGCTTACTGGGTACCGCCGGCTTAATCGTTGGCGGAGCACCCCCAAATGCAATCGTGGAAGCCATGGTCGTGACCGCTCTGATCCCGTGGATCGAGATTGCCACAAGGGCGTCGGCCGGACTCCAGACGGGCGCGCTAATGATATCCGTTGTACCATCTTCATCGTACTGGATACCCTTGATGCTCTTGGCTGGCATGTAGCCGAAGTTGCCAAGCATGACAATGTATGCCTTTCGGTAGTGCTTGCACCATGCCTCCCATTCCTTGGATGGTCCCCCGGCAATCGTCTCGAGCCTTGAAGGCTTGGGCAGACCCTGGCTCCCTTCCTCTCCCAGGATGGGTGCACGCAGCTGGAAGAATGGCGCAAGCTCAATTCGGTAGCTAGAAGACTGAAGCTCGGACAGCAAGGCATACCTTCCACCGACGGTAGCGTGATCGCTCGTTCCGTAACTGTCAGGCATCCAGTGATTGCGTCGAAGCACTGACGGGTCGACGGTGATTCGTTCCGTCGCTTCACCACTACCCGCCGTGGCCTGATCATCAGCCGCGGCTGCCCCAGGTTGCTCTGTCTCGGTAGAAGCAATCTGTTGGGTAGTGCTGCCTCCTTGAATCGTGAGGTCTGCAAACTCGACATTATCGTGAGCGACAATGTCTCCCAGCAGCTTCAGGATGCGAGGATCGATCGGGCTCGCCTCCATCCACGGGTGCCAGGCCACGGCTTTCGTTCCGTCGGCACTGAGGAATCGGTGTCCGTGGACGACGTAGCTCGGGGAGGTCGAAACCCCATTCTCGCGGTCGTCCATAAGTCGGAATGGCCTGAATGCGATCCCGCACAACTCGAGAAACCTAGTCCCGACGCGGATCTGCTTCTGGGATCCCCCCAGCTTCTTTGTCGTTCGGCTGTGGCTGTTCACCATAGTCCGGGAGACGCAGATCATCACTTGGAACCAGTATCCCCCACCGAGGTACGTGCCAGACGCATAGGTGCCGGCAGCCTCGGGGGCGTTTCCAGTCACCCAGACGCAGGGTTCGTGACTTCCATAATCGTCCGTCACGTAATCCTCTCCGAACAAGCCTCCGTGTGCAAGAATCGACCAGAGGCTCAGAGGTATCGGAGATTCGTTCCGTGGAGGAACGTTTCCTGAGGATCATAAATGTCCGAATTCATCGCCGGGACATACACCCATCCGTCAGTCGGGTGGATAGTGATCTGCGAAGCACCGTCCTCGTAGGCCATAGGGGTGCTGGCTCCCCAGTTGAGCGTATCATCGATGCTGACGCATCTCCCAGGGTAAGTATCTGCCAATGCCTTCATGAACGAGACCCACCCGCGCATCAACGGGGTATTTCCATCGTCGTCTTCGTTGCGGAAGGCGGCCACTTCCCCGATTCCGTTCGCATCCACGGCAGGAAGATCGTAGCCATGTTCCTTGCGATCGTTCTCGAGATGCATGGCCTGCTCCTTTAGAGAGTCCAGCGTGGGAAATCGGTTAAGAGCCTTGATCGCCAGAAATGATCCAGGGAGAAATGACAGCGTCGGCCGAAGCTGCAGAAAACCCTTGAAGAACTTCACAGCCTCAGCCGGGTTGACCGTTTCCCTGGACATCTCAGTGGGTGACAACTTGGCGAGGTCGTTGTGTTTGATACTCGTATCGGTCCTCAGCCATCGCTGCTCCGCAGACGAACTGCTGTACCCCATGTCACCCGCAAGATCGGCATCACAGTAGAGCACAAGCTCCAGCATCTCGGGTGCGTCACCAATCCACCCATACAAATTGAGATCGAGGGTAGAATTGATATAACACACCAATCGATGGAGTTTCTTGTCACACAAGCCATCCCATTTAGTGATGAGACTGGCAAGTGCCTGCACAGGACGAATGAGATCGTACCGCCCCATGCGAGCACCATACAGGATTTTCATCAGAACGGCGGCTGCACAGTCGCCGAGAACGCCCTTACCAGGAGGCACAGGCGTGTCAGCGGAATGGCCTAGCAGGCGGTTCACGGCAGGGCGATCCGGATTGGTATCGAACTCCGGTCGCGACTCATCGAGGAACGGCGTGTCAGCCGACCGTAAGGAGGCCTTATACTTAGGACCACAGAGCTCAACATGGCGAGAAACACACTGCTCCATGAATGATCGCATATCGTACTTGATCATTCGAATTTCGCGAGGACCAACTGAGCCTTGCGCGACACTGGTGTCTCGATCGCCAAAAGTTAGCTCGGGAAACGCCTTCTTAGGCTCCTCGAATCGCGTCCAGTAGGAACGCGGATCAAAAGTGCTAGGAACAGTGTGGGAGAAGGTAACATGTTCACATCCCAGATAACGTTTGATGCTCGAGGGCGGCTCCAATTTGATCTTGGAAGCCATGAGCTCCCAGCCCTTGGCCAAATTGGCCTTCGGTCCACTGAGCTTAAAATCATCAACGTAGACAACGAGCATAAGATTAAGTTTGGGATGACGAAACACACTCTTCCAGTCAGGGCATTGCTCGAACCCAACTGATCGACGAGCCTTCTCACAATGCTGTTCCCAGAAACCACCGGCATCCGGGTGCCCGTAGAGAGCCAACACAAGGCGCACAACCGGATCATGGTATTTGCCGTGCCATTCGGGCAACCACCGATCCTTGGGTAATCGTACCCACGTTGCCGGGCCGCCAAGCTTAGCTTGGGTGTAGGCAGATTCGCCATCGGCAACTTGGATTTCATGACCAGGAAGAGGGCCGAAAGCATCGGCGGCCTTTCCAGCTTCCATGGTCGCGGGGCAAGATGTAATCTCGGAGAAGATAGCCCAATTATTGCCTTCATCTTTGACATGGCAACCCTCAAACACTACACGACCCTTAAACTTGCGATTAGGATCAGATTCCGGAAGCTCGGAATTCTTCTCAACGCATATATCGAAGATACGACCAACGTGGGCCGTTTCCCCCTTTGCCATAGCCTCGTTGGATACATCGCGCCATTCACGCACGGAGGCGTAGTCCCAACATCCCTGATTGATGAGTTTATTCCACTCTTTATCAAGGGCAGCCTTGGCCTTGGGATTAGCGGCACGTTCTTTTCGGTCAACGGGCCGTGCGACACACGCACTATAGAAGAATACCGATGAATCGGGCGATCGGTGTGAATGAGGATCAGGACGTATAGACATGGCTGGCGCTGCACCAGCAGCAATACCATCGTCGGATGATTCGACCGGCATAGACACATCACCATTGACATCCTCTGCGGTGAAGTCGAGTTCAACCGCTGCCAATACCGAAGTGTAAAATTGAACCACTGCAACGTCCTGTCCAGGCTCGATTGTAATATCGGAATCGGTAGGATTAAGGACGTCAACACCGGATTGAGTGGCCCCCTCATTGTACGTGTACATGGCCGGACAAACATCGAGGCCACTGCCGCGAAGCGGCTGGAGACGGGCTGACATACCGCCCGGGGGTTCAAACTCAAGATCGGTAACAACACAGGCGCGAGACTTGGCAGGGACGACAATACGCCCTTTAGCACGCAGTGCATGGCCATAATATCCATTTGCGGTTTGCACGCGGCGCTCCGTGCCATCTTTATTCGGCAGACTAGTGCGAACTTTAATCTGCGTTTTGGCAGAGGAACCAATGACGAAAACGGTCTTCCCAGTCCACCGACACGGCAGAGATCGAACATCGGATAATCTCCAGGAGTCTTGCAATGTAAACTCCGTGCCGTCGGTCATGGCCATGGTCATCCTGACATCGGTCAACGTCGCAGGATCAACTGGGCAATCCTTGACGGAGGTCGGATTAAAGCGCGCTCGGCGCTCGATCACATGAAATCGGGTGATCGTGCCAGCTGCGACATCGTGATACCAGTAGTCCTTGTCATGCCGTTCGGCACCAGACTCATAATCCGAATCGAAAGCGATATCGACAGGAGCGGCATCGCGAGAGTCCTCGCGCGACATAGCATGAGACTCAGCTTCTCGGCGCTCAGCCTCAACATATCCTTCCCGCTCGGCTCGATTCATGCTTCGCCAGGATTCAGAGTCGATAGAGTTCGGTTTTCGAGACCCCTTGTATGCTCGCTCGGAACGAGGCACATTTTGACGATAGCGTAAACCCCCCTCGCCCTCCAGGACCTCAGATCCATGATAAGGAGGCAACTTCTTCTTAGGTGGGGCAAAGCCGTCATCAAAGAACTCAACAGTGCCTGTCCAAAGCTGCATGAGTCTTGTCTTGCCGAAGGCATACCCGGTTTCATAGATCGTAACCGGGCTTTTGTCCTTGTATTGAACATTCGATATACGCACCGTGCTCAGCTTCCACGGGTCAGGCGACTCCCCTATGGAACCTGGAGTCTTACTGGGATGAACCATCGCCTTTCTTGGAACAACAACGTGATACGTCCACTTATGCGCGGATGGATCATATTCCCAGTAGTCGACACCTCCTCCATGAGAGGTCTCTGCTCGTAACTCAGCCTTCTTCATCGGTCATTCGAGTCGACTCGTCAAGGGCGAAGATTTCATCGATATCTTCGAGATCGAGCATGTCGGAGGCGTCAAGACGCTCACTCGGCTTTGGCACGGTAGACTGCATCGCGGGATCGTTGATGCATACTGATCGAGTTTGTTTATATATCGTACACGGCCAGCATCGGAAACGTCCATCGCTCCTTGGGAGAACAGTATATCTTCTTCACCTGATGGACGCTTGCTCGCAATGCGTCGCGTTTGAAGTCCTCAAGGTCAGCGACGATGTAGTCACCGCCCCACCTGCCCCCATTCATTCTCGAAGTGATAACCCAGAAATATACCGGGCTTGCTTGTGGGAGAGAACTTGCTGGGGCGTTGGTAGGATGACAAGCGATGATCAACATCGGTGCCCTGGAGGGATCCGGATCGATCGTCACCTCCATCATCAATCCATTCGAGATAATCGTCATCGTCGAATCCGACTTCGACATCGATCAATCCATCATCTCCAGGCGCAGGCAGTGCATACTCCTCACCATCGCCAAGTACGACTTCATCTCTCTGACTTCGCCGGGTCTGTTTTCGTGCCGGCGTGGGATAGAAGTCAACAAGACATCCAAATGGAAGAACCTGGCCGTCAAATTCGGTACCATTAAACCGCAATGCGTATGCACTCTGGCCCTCGCGCAGCTCGATGTTGCGAGCATGACAGAAGTGCTTACACGCATAAGGCCAGAATTTGGCGCTCAAACCTGCTTGCCGAAGCGCCACGCGTGCGCCATGAAGGACAAGCTTCACCTTGCTCTCGGCAATGGCATTAGTTCGAGGCATGCCAGGAGTAGAATGCTTTACAGAGATGCCAACTTTCTTGCAGGTCGATATGAACTCACGGGCTTTATCGCAATAAATTTCCCGAATCGCAGAGGGTGCGTATCTTCTCTCCACATCCATGGAGAATGAGTTCACATCCTGAAGGTCGCCGAAGACCTGCTGGAACGCGCGAAGCGTATCGGCATTTGTTCTTCCCTTCACGGGAACACTCTCCAACCACTCGGTTGCTAGATCATAGAAGACAACAGCATCTGTCTCCCCATTATTCCCGCGATTGCCAAGCCCGTGCAACACCATAGTGTCGATGGTGACATGCTCGCCAAACTTCTCAAACCCTTTATCGCGTGGTGAGTCTTGGTGAAATGACTTAACATTTTCCATCTTAGCACGTTGGCATGCATCGCAATAGGGATTCTTAGGTAAATGGGTCATGAGGTGACGGATGGACTTTGCCTCCTCTCTCAGGTCGCGCGCTCTCGGTTCATCGGGCGGCGACTGATGCTTCGATTTGTAAGGCACCTTCTTGGCATCGTCAGGTGCATCTTTCTGGACGCTCTTGGCACCGGGCATGTCAATATCGAGCTCTCCAATATCGTCTAGCTCGCCTACAGGCTCCTCACCAGCGGCTACGACCTTCTCGTGGATGATGATCGGTGCTGGGAGCACCGGATATACGCGAGGGAGATCAGGTCGACCCGCTACTACTTCGGTCTCGCTCGGAGCGAGGTATGGGATGTTGTTGATAACATCGACCTTGAGTCGCTTCCCTCTGGGATCAAAGAATATCGGATCGCAGAAAGGTTCCCAAATAAATCGGTAACCAAGTTCCTTGCATCGTTTCCCAAGGGAAAGGAGACTTGGTGTGCTCTCAAGCACATAAGCTTCAATCAGCTCATCGAGACCGTCAATGCGCATGGCGGTCCGAAGGCTAATCTTAGCATTTTGAACAATCAGATCCCTTTCCTCATGGGATAAGTCACCGAGACCAATTAGGTCTATACCGCAACCGGAGTCAAGCATGAGTCTCCGTACCCTCTTAATAGACTTGACAGCAGCAGCAAAGACTTCGCAAGCGCTCCGCTGAGAAAGCTTGAGCTCAAGAACACAAGCATCATTTCCCAACGTCTTGGCATCAACGTCATCGAGCAAAACCTGCTCTCTCCAAAGCACAGCCTTCATATGGGCCCTTCGCTTCTCGCGAGCACTATTCAGACCACGGATATCTTCCGGCCACGAATAGTTCAAATTCCTCTCGCGATTGACGGGGCCGAAGTTTGGCTCCGGGAAAGAAGACTCTATCACGCGGGTCTCAGTATTCCCAAACGATACTGTCTTCCGCTTGACTGACGGACATGCCATATCGAATGATGCGGCACAAGCGAACGCAAAGTCTCCAATGGAGGATGCTGTCATTGCCTGAGGGTTGCGGCACGCCCCTCTCAAAAATCCGAGGGCGTTGGCGCCGGGCTATCTACCCGCCTTGATGTTGGCGCGGGCTCAGCAGGCGCGGGAGCAGCGGTAGGGGTGCTCTCAGCTGGGGCACCCGGCTTCACATGCTTATAGGGACACTTGTCGCCTCTCGTGCAAGTCCCTCGTGCGTAATAGAAGCAAATACCGGACTCCTTCGAAATCGGTGACTGCGACCGAGGCGGGAATCCTTTCGGCGAGGAGCTTCTTGCCTTTAGGTTGTGGGAAAACTTGCAACCGCTTCCTCGCGTACATCTGCCTTTCTTGAAATCGTAGCAGATTTCCCGCCCTCGTGGGGATCGCGATGCAGGACGAGTCGGTGCAGGAGCAGCCCTTCCCGGGCTACGGGAATATCGCCTTGGCGAACCGCGCCTCGGGGAGAATCGTCTGGGCGACGAGCGTCTCGGCGAGCTCCTTCGGTACGGACTCCCTCTCCTGGAGTCACGGCGGCCAGGCGATCTGGACCCTCTCTGACCTCGGGAGAAGGATCTACGCGGACTGCCATGCGCAGGCGCAGCGTATCGCCTCTGCGCGGAGGATGATCGCGTAGCGGTGTACATCTTCTCCTGATTGCGTCGTCGGCGCCATGTTGTAATCGCATTGACGCAGACAGTTCGCAAATATGCGTAGTTCCGCACAGAGACATCTCTGTCCCACAATTGCATATCGAGCTCAAGGCAACGGAACTCACGTACCTGCTCGTAGAAGAGGGCACAGAGCACAGGATCTTCAGGGCGATCGACCGAAATACCAGCGAGAACATGATCCCACCGATTGGAGAAGGCTTCAAGCCTCTCCTGCTCGGACCCATGAGTGAACCGATCAATCGTGGTTTTCATGAGATCAACGAGCTTGAAAGTCGAGTCGCCAGTGACATGCGGCCGGAGAAAGTCATACAAGAGCCACAAGATTTGCCTACTCCCGAGTCGCCGGTTTATCGTATGCATGCGCTCGGTTTCGGTCTGAATCTTATTCTTCAAAGCAATAGACTTAACGCACTCACGGAAAGCCGAATTGCATTCGTTCTCGAGCATTCCGTACTTGCACTCATCAAGAAGGTCCTCGTAGCGGGTGCCATCGGGAATCTCGACCCATGAGAGTGCGTACCCAGGATCGTATGCGAAGGCATTGGCAACCCGCTCCTTCACATCGACGATCCAACGTCGCAATTGTGCGGGCTCAGGCTCAGGGTCAAGCCGGAAGGATTTACACTTTGCCTTCTTCGCATCACTCAACGATCCATCACCCTTGGGTCCACCAGGTCCCGAATCGTTGGGGCCAGGCGGGTTCCCAGTCTGTCTCTCAAGGCACACAAGACAGATTCTCAACGGATCTCTGCAGCAACCATTGCAACATGAGAATCGACAAGAGATGCATGGTCGTCGCACGGTGGTCGGGAAAGTTCCGGTGCAGCGCTCGCACTGGAAAGTATCATTCCCGCTCGGTCGACCGGTAGGCCGAATGCTTGGCGGATCCGCCATCGGGCGGACCACTCCCGCCAGGAGGGCCACCACCACCAGGCGGACCACCAGGTGGGCCACCGGGCGGGCCACCACCGCCACCAGGGACATAGCCAGACCCATGATGCCCATATCCTCCGAAACCACCGCCATATGCACCCCCGTTGTCGTTGGGCCATCACCACCGGGGGAACCGCCGCCTCCGTGCGGCGGTCCGCCAGCTCCGGGTGGCGCGGCACTGGGTGCAGGAACGGACGTTCTGGCATTGAAGGTGGGCATCGGGGGCACAGCATCGGTTGTCACAGCAGGTCGAAGTGTTGCTGTGATACTCGTGTTCGGCGCAAGTGTGAAAGTGCCAGTCTCACTATGGAGAATCGGTGCGCCGGCACCACTGCCAATGAGATTCGTTCGGCCAAGCATCGCATCATACCACCTTGAAGGCCCCTTCCCTGCCGGAACGGAACGGGTGTCATAGGAGATTTGGCACGGGAAGGTATGGCTTGGCCTGGGCTCAGGAGCGAAGCTTCGAGCTTCAGGAGCAGGTCGAATGCCAACTCGAGGAGCTTCATCGACTGGATACGGCCCGAGGCTCGGAACATGACCGGAAGTCGCTCTATCGGCATTTGCGGGAGGAACGGCCGGATCAGGCGATCTCCCCGAAAATGAGGCTGACGTTTGGCCATAATTCTGTCGAACGGGCTCAACAGGATTATTTTGCCCGTGACTTTCGCCAAGATGTTCGTCAGCGACTCGTTGCTGTGCACGCCTCAAAATTTCATCAAGATTGATGCCACTCGTCTGAGAGTGCACAGTTGAAGCCTTTTCAGCAGGTGCAGCATTGCATCCCGGCGGAGAGCCATGATCAATCGGACCTAACAGTGAAGATCTCGGAATGGCAGTAGTTTGGCCGCCAGGGAATAGGGCACCTGGAACTGGTGGCAGATCCGCAGGGCGTGGGATATCCCCATCATGGTCACTGATATCGAAGAACTGCGTCCGTTCCGGACGCGAAGGCGTCGATCTATCAGAACCGCCTCTGCCGACGTGAGCGTTTTCGAGGTGCTGTATCCGGACAGTCAGCTGATCGATATGAGCTCGGTTACTCTCCTTATGATCGTAGAGAGCGCGACTCATCTCGGATCTGATGACTTCAATGCGGTGGGTAGCGCTCTGCTCCACCGCAGCGACCCGCGCCTCGGCATGGATCTGCCGCAGCGCGTCTGGGTACTGCTTGATGTGACGGATCGTTTCAGCAAGCTGCATGGATAGTGATCCAGCACGCTTTTCGTTGAAGTGATGGATCCGCTCATCAAACTCGATGAGTCGGTCATTGACCATCGAAGTGAGCTTCGCAAAATGATCTTCAAGCGTCTCGTGGTCAGAAATCCGCCTCTCGCGGAAAGAGTCCTGGAACTGCATGAACAGCTCACGTTCTTTCCTCAACTCGGCCTGAAGAAGCTCCCACATGTCTCGGATCTTGTTCTCAAGTGCTTCAGTGATATCCGAGACGCCGTTCCTCAAGATATCGAGGTCGGCTTGGGTGCTGGTCACACCCTGCGCGATCGCCAGAATATCGGCGGCGATGCGCGCGGATGCTTCCGACCCAATGGCTTCATCGACCAGAGCCCCGACAGCACGGGGACCGGTAAGCCTCCCGCCGTTATCGTTGGCGGGGGCAGCACCACCATGATCCGCCGCGGTAATCGTTGCGACGGAAACATGGGGTGCACCCGGTTGCTCGCTGGTGGAAGAAAGGACGCCGGGTCCGAAATCGGTGGACCACGGTCGTCCGGCCCGGACCGAGGGCCCGAGCGCCCTCTGGATCTCCGCGAAGGGACAGAGGACAGGATGAGCGGACGCAGAAAAGGCAGGCAACAAGGGCAAAAGACGAGCGGTGGCAGAAGCAGGCAGCATGCCGGCGTGCATCGTGCCAGGCGTTGCGAAAGCAGCAGCAGCAGAGCATGGCAAAGGCGTCGCATGGTGCTGAGCTCTCTGATCGTCCTCAGCAGGCAGCGAAGCAAGCAGCGAAGCAGAGCGAGCGAGCGAAGCGTGCGAGGCGGGCGCAGTGCAGCGAGATGCGTGGGCACTATCATCGGGCTCCACGACATCCCGAGCAACTGGCGTCACTAGTGAAGAACCGACAGTCGAGGGGACACGGGGAGAACCGATCGGAGTCGCCATTCTCTCGGTGGCGCGGCCAATCACAAGTTCCGAACTTGGTCTGAACCAGGAAAACGGTAGTGATCGGACGCTGATTGGATCAGGCGGTCCGAGTGCCAAGCAGCAGCAGCGAAGCAGCAATCCACAATCGGATGCGGAGGCCCTACGGCTGATAACCTGTGAAAAGCGGAGGATTCCACTCAACTCTCGGTCACAAAGCCCAAGGCAACCAATCGTAGATCAAAGCAAAGCAGCAAAGCAAAGCAAGGAAGATCAGAGATTAAAACCGTAAGTTTGACGCTCAGCGGAAAGGCAACACTAGAACCCCCAGGCGCTAGCGGACCTTTTGCTGGACCTGACGCAGGGTCGGTCTTGAGCAGTCAAGCTGCGTAAGTGAGACAAAGTTGGCGAGAATCCTAACCAGGACACAGAAGCACATGTACGCATGTCCGTGACAAATCACACTTGGGTTCCCATGGCTGTATGACGACTGACCGCTCCACGGTCGCAAGTTAGAAACGACTGCCATGCTGGCATCTCGAGCTGCGGCATGCACTTGCTTGCTTAGGGGCGTGAGCACATGCAAGCATGTACTCTGGCCCGATAGCCTACTTGGCCCGCGTCTGTTCGTCCTCGATGCCCCTGTCGGGGTGGGTTGGCAAGCACGTTCCCTCGAGTGCCCCCATGGGGTCACTCTCTCTCGCTGGCTTGCTTGCTTGCTTGCTTGCTTCGGGGTATGGGCTCCCGGGGGAACCCTGGCCCGAGGGCCTACCCCCTCCACAGTCCGCGCGTCTCAAGGTCTGTTCGGCCCATTTCGGGGTTGAGAGAAGCACTCGTTCCCCCAATCTCTCTCTCTCTCTCTTCTTCGCCAGGGCTTAGGAGGCTTATGGCCCCCCATTGTTTTATGGGGCTGTGAGGAAGGGTGATACTACAATGCATGTCCCCCCTCGACAAGGTTCCTCCATATTTGTTTTCATAAACGATCTTTCAGAGACATCGACCGATACAGGACATGGGCGCGAATTTGGACGCTCGACCACTACGTTTGGGGTAGAACAAAACATGAAAAGTGATACTGACAACTTCGAGATTCTCATCCCCCGCCACTACTGGCTGACGTTGGCTATGAGGTCCTTAATCTCTCTTCTTCTACACAGCCAGAGGAAGTAGCACACTACCACCCGGTGCACACGCACGCACTAGTTTAGGGGGACTTAACCTCTCTCTCTGTCCCTTTGCCTGTCCCCCTTTCTTTCCACAGCCCAAAACGCACTCTCAGGGCGCTGGCTCTTCTTCAGCACGTCTCGCTCTCTCTCTCTCTCTCTCTCTCTCTCTCTTTCTTTCTTTCTGCCGGGCTTAGGGGTCGGAGGACCGACCCTCAGGCGTTGCGCCCGCCCGTCCCCCAACACTGTATTAGTGAGTGGACGGCTTTGGGGTAGTCCAGATTAGGCAAGGAAAAACAAAATAGGCCCCGAGGTGTAAACAGGAAAACCCTCCGAACTCTAAACACGACACAACCCCCGCCTCATCACCGCGCCCCTACGGCTATATCCTTAGTTGTGAGCTGGTTCGGGGGGGCCTGAAAAGTGCCGGTCCCCCCAGCTCGAAGCAGGAGGGAGCACTGAATTGTGGCAAAGAGGCGGATCAGACTTCGTCACAAAAGTGACGGCGTTGCAGCGAATTGCAAAGGGACGGAATAAATCTGCCATGTTGGCAAAGGTGGCTGAAAGAGTGTGGTATGTAACACGTATGGTACAAAGCACGTGCATTCCCCCGGCAGGGTTGGGTTTGCAAAAGATCCCCCACGAAGTGGGGCGGGGCTCGCAGCAGGGCACATTAGGGAAAGAGGAGGGCCGAAACCAAAACACAACACCCCACAAGAACCAGCGTCTCTCCTCTCCCCTCTGGCACTGGGCACAGACACGCAGGTTCCCCTCTTTTGGAGAACAACAAGCTGAGTCACGTGTTCGAAAAGAAGCGGAAAATTCCCCTCGCTCATTGCTTGTAGGTCACGGTGCGCCTCTCATGTGTGCCTGGACTTGCCGTATCGCCTCCCACATCGGACCTGGCTGTAGTCTCACTGTCCTCCTCGGGCTGGGGCTTGGTGTTCTGGGTCGTTCCCCTCCGGCCGAGATGGAGCTGGCTTCTCCCCCGGCTGGTTCGTCATGGGTGGGTCGTGGCGTCTTTCTCCACGGTGGTTCGCCTGCGGGTTCGTTTGGCTTGTGCCACCCTGGAACCTGGGGCAGCTCGCTTGAGCTTTCCGCCCCTCCTCGGTGCTGCTGTTCTCATCTTCCGTGTTCCCCCAGTCCACTTCATCGCTGAGCTCGGGCTGTGGTGGTACTTGGTCTCGCGGCTGCTGTGGTGGTGCTCGGTCTTGTGCTGCATCTGCGGTCCTTGCTGTGGTGCTCGAGGCATGGCTTGACGTCCCCTCCTTTTTCGCATCCTCCGGCTTGGTGCTCGGACTCTTGCTTGCCGTCCCCTCCCTTCTCGCATTTGCTGGGTCCTCTGGTTGCCTCGGCCGTCTCCTTCTGGCTGGTCTTGCTGAGGCACTCCCCCGTGGTGAGGATTTCTTCTGCCGCGCCTTGATCGAACGGCGTATGCGGCGGGCCTGACGCAACAGGCCTTTGATCGCCCCCGGAAAGCGGATCATGTAGGCGCGCGTTTCGTGGGCAACCTCTGGGAGGTATTTGTCTGCTATCTTCGCCAGCTTGTCTGCTTGCTGGGCTGTGCGGCATCTGGCTTGGTGCCTCTTGTAGAACTGCTCGTACTCATCGCTCTCCCCTCTTGTTAGGGGCTGCCCCGAGGGGCTGTGGCACCATCCCCCTCCATCTGGGTTTCGAACCGCGTCTTGCTTCGTCCATTTGTCGAGCGGTCCTGGGAGGTAGTGTAGGGCAATCCCCCCAGGAGTCATGTAGGCCGTCATGTGCTCGAAGGGTACCTGTGTACGTCTGCCGCTTCCCCCGTCGTTCTGCTGTGGCTGGCTTGTTGCGGCTCTGTCGTGGGACAACACCAAGCGCGTGTTCCCCAAAGCTTCCGATCCGAAGAAACGACATTGGGAGTCGGATCGCTCATGTACCTTTCGCATGCCTGGCCGACAGATCCCTCCCCCTTCTCTGCAGATTCTGCAGATCTTCTTGCCTCCCCCACGCTTCTCCATGATCTTCACTATCTTCTCGGCCTTGCCACAGTCACGATCTTCCAGTTGAAGCAGTCCCCCGCCCAACGTAGAGGTAGTTCCTGCGACACTTGGCGGCGGCGTCCCCGCTGTCGTTGGTGCAGTTGTCGTCCCCCTCCGACCTTGGAGCGTCCAAGAAGAAGGTCTTGCAGTCACCAGCTTGTCGGCGTGCGGAAAGTGTCACGAACGTGCCGTTGAGCTTTATGGCACGCGCCCCTTGAACTAGCGGCACTCGCTTAAGCAACACAGCGTCGGGTATGTGACTCAAGCACCGCGTGGGGCAAGTGCGCAGGCTCCCCCAAGGTGGACAGCCTTGGGTTAACCCCGCACCTCCCCCCCGATGCAAAGAGGCGGCACAGGCCTCCAAGCAAAGGTGCAGTACTTGAGCCAAAATGGCTCTCTCTCTCTCTCTCTCTCTCTCTCTCTCTCTCTCTCTCTCTCTTTCTCTCTCTTTATCGCTATCTTGCTTGCTTGCATTCTCTTTCTCTCCTTCTCTCTCGCGCTCTCTCGGTCTCTCTCGCTCTCTGCCCACACTTCGTCCTGCAGTGCTAGCCAAGACATGCCAAGAGGCAAGTGCCCGTCACAGAACGCCGCCGGTGCCTGACGAGACCGGCAGACAGGACGAGCGTCGCACAGGTCGTCAGACACACCTTTGCCAGCGCCAGCATGCGCAGAAAATCTCGAAGTTCAAGCGCTTGCCCACGCCTCAGTGACCAAGACACCTCTTCGTGCCGTGGTGATGGGTGAAGGAGAGAATCTGTGCTGAGCCATACACGACAGCAAGCGCCTCACTGCCATCTGCACTTGAGGGAGCTTGATCTTGTCAAGCCTTGATTTCATGGTGCCATGGGCAATTCGAGAACCCACTTCCTTCGCACACATAGGTATGTCACGATCTGATCGCCGCAGTGTCTGCGCCCTTTCTACGTGGCAGCCGCTCCTTTCAGACTGGCACAGCAATCCGAAAAAACAACAGGAGAAGCCAAAAGAATCTGGAACTGTTGGCTGCCTCACCTGTTCGGCCCGGATAGCTTTGAAAGTCTCGAAAGCTTCGAGAACCTGCCAGGCCGGATGAAGCATCTGACACCAAGACATGCTCAAGGGCCTCTCTACGGCTCATCAGCGCCGAAGCAGTCGTGGCTGACACCTCCGGTCACATGTGAGCACCATCGTGGGCATCCCGCTCAATGTTAGAATGAAATGTTCTTTTGTCTGAGTCGCGCCTTCTTGGAGTCAGGTGCAGGACTTCTTGCCACCGCAGTGACCTCTTTGCCTCGCCAGCTTCTTGCCCCCTTCCCGCGAGGTCTTGACGACAAATGGAAGCACAGCCATTCCTACGGCACGAGCCTTTGCTGGGCTTCGTCCTGCCGCGGGAACGGCCCTTTCCGCGCCCACCACGCCCGACAGCCTGGTCAAAAGTTTGCTGAACTTCCAACAGCGCAACTTGGTCCTCACTACAATTAATCATCAATCCTCCAGATAGGGTGGAATGAAAAACTACATAAACATGGACATGATGAGAGGCAATTCACGTTTAGGTGGGTTGACCTTTGGATTGGCGGCTGGGCACTGCTGAGTCATTTCCAGCCTCTTCTCACACGTTCACGCAAGATCACTTGATGCTTGAAGTGCTAACTCAAACCTGAGACAAGCGGCTGCTTCTGTAGTTCGCTGAGAGCGCCCGACGCCTCTTGCCTGCAAGCCCAGGGTGGGCATTCAGTCTAAAGCCTCCTGCTACAGCTTCCGACGGAACTGTGCGACAGGATTGCGCAGGCTCGAAACAAATCAAAACAGGGATCCAAAAAAAATCACAATGTCATATTTATCTCCTGGAAGGTATACTAAGGTGTACTCGAGATAACTAACGGTGGTCCGGATCAAACAAGAATCAAACAGTGATGCTGTCCAGCTCTAACCAGCGTCGCAGCACTGACTGCGGGTCGTTGAGTCTGGGGGGATCAGGTTTCTGGGTGGGCGGGTGCCAGCGGCAGGGTGGCTGAGGTGTGCCTGCTCATGCGTTTTCCATAGTGACAGTAACAACAACGACAACATGTAATAGCAACAATGAAGACAAAAATAACAGTGATAGCATCTAGGAAACTAGTCAAGAACAAAACACGAATTGGAAAACAATCACAATGAAAACTAACATAGTAACAACAGCAATCATCAAAAAGTCGTCAACATCATTCGTCATCACCATCAACATCATCCTAGGTATAGCAATAGCAGCTTTAATCCTACTTATCGGAGCAACACAGCTTTTTGTACCAAACCCTGATGAATACAACCGTAAACACTATGGCAACCGAGCCAGTCTAACCGAGCATTGAGATCTCCAGCTCCGATGCCTACAAGCCGCTCTGAAATATGTTTCAAGCACTGGACTTCACAGCAGTTCAACCCTTTGAAACAATCTGTTGTACATGTTCAATTTCCTGTTGATTGCAGCTTGAAGGTTGCTGATTCCGACTTGATTTGTTGCTGCTTCTCCGAGCATCCCTAAATATCAGACCTTCTACGTCACCTACCTGCACAGGCAGAGCTTCAGCAGACTCTTGGCCACTGTCGCCGCCCAAGGAACTGCTGAATGTATTGAGGAACAAGGCCTTGGCAAACGTGTTTGACATCACTCACTTGTACGGGGTCCCGGGAATTTTTTGCACTGAGGCCTTCACGAAGCATGCATCTAAGTCGGCAAGCAAAAGGAGCTCCTGGAAACACGACTCTGAACGAGATCTCGTTTTGTTTTTCACCCCTGAAACCTCGACCTTAAAAGCATTCGCTGAACAATCCCGTGCAAGCTTGCCACCCGTGCCTCATAAGCAATTGCATCGCCCCGGCATGGCTGGTGCTTTCGCAGCACCCACAATCTGAAAGCGCCAGTGCTTCGTTCAGACCCCGCCGCGAAGCAAAAAAGGTCCCGACAATCGGCACACATCGTTTTCGATGTCCTGCTACACCACCAGTACCCAGCCCAACTTCATCATGCGTGTACCAGCAACAACAAGTGTGATTCCTCTGAAGGTGGTGGCGATGGCACCAATGCCCCCAGTCGGTGAAGGCCTTGCCTGCAGGCTTGCCGAGGCTCCCACCTTGCTTCCCTGCAATGGTCAAACCAACACGTGCGCTGGGCTCGGGACAACAATGAACTAAGCATTCCGACGACTGCAGACACCCCCAGTCGGCCATCTTCGCGACCTCGGAAAGAAAGGTTTGGACACATACACAAATACTACACAAATGGTGCCCTTCTGCTTTCGACAAATTGCACTCGAGCTTGTTCAGCTCTGGGCTTCGATTCTTGACTCCAGGCGTTTGTTTGTGCATGTGTGTGTGTGTGTGCCTGGTTCTCGGCTCGGCAATTAATGTCCCGTCAGACCACATGCAATATGAAGATGAGGGTGCGACCACTCCAAATCAAGCACAGTATGGCTGCCTATTACACCAAGCAATACCAAGCATGATGCAATGGCTCCCTGGGCTCCCTGTTCGCCACACTTCGGCCTTTGCTTCTCGCCGCAAGTGGGGAGAAAGCATGGCACCACACGTTAACACCTGCAAGGATTCCGGTGAGTGAACAGTTTTAGTTCAATTTTCACATGTTTGCAATCTCTTGCGCTCGCCTCGTACAAATTGACTTGACATCCAGCAGGATCCGTGGCCTGACCATCTTGTCGGCGCCGATCGTTCCAGGCCACTACCAAAACAAACACCCTCGATTGGCTGACATTCTGTGCATGAATACTGCGCCCAGGCACAAACAAGTCAAATGCGGTAGCTGCCGCATCGTCATCTGCAGCCGCTATATGGTCGCGCCACCACCTTACGATCACAGGAGCCTGGGTCTGTAAACATTGCTGCGCAGCGTATGATTCGGCCCCTCACTGCTGGTCAACCAGGCAATCGACATGGCGTCCGGGAGGTGCTCGTTCCTCGGCAATGAAAATAAGCAACTGCCGGAATTGCCAACAGACTTGACCTGCACAGTGCGCAAAGAAATGTCGGAAAATTGGGCCCGCTCATGGACAAGCGAAGAAAGCACCGCTGCTTCAGCATCCCATTGTCGCCCGCTGCATCCTTACCCACACAAGACACGTCGCCAATGGAAACGAATTCTTTGCAAGCAAGAATTCGCTAATTAACCACCTTCATCATGCATGAGGTCCTGGCCACTGCTGAAAAACAAGTTGTTGAGTGCCTGCAGCAAAAAAAGTGCCCGCCCGAAAACACGAGTCTACACACAAAACCAGCATGTACAGGCGGCCTGCACTCCAGGCATGCGTGCATCCTGGTTTGAGTGCGGACGTTTTACATAACTCCCCAAATTCGCGGACATACTACTATTCCACATCTCGGGCACCCCGCCAGCTGCCAATCATCTGGGCCTTACCAGCAAATACAACGAATTTTCGGGTATGTTGTTCTTTGTGCCGTTCCTGCAAATCAAGATGCCTTTTTCTTAAGTTGTTGTGTTTATGGTGCCCACGTGACGTCAGGATTTCGTGCTACAGTACGGTGAATTGGGGCCGCGACTTTCCACGATGGAACCTGGCCAACCACAACAGCAAAAAGCACCACTCAACGCAAGCCATCGACGACTGCTGCAAGACTGCTGCAAGCATGTGCTGTGCAATGTGGTGATCAACGTGCCGGCAATTCTTCCGATGCCCATGGCTGCAATTGCCCAAAACGTGATGGTTGTTTTTTTCTCCGACTTCTCCTCTCTGCAGAAACGGTCGGTGCGTGCTTCCATGCTTCACTTTTGCATAATTTTGCCCTGCAACCTGTTCTCTCGCATGGGTGATGCACCGAGTATTCATGAAATCGACATGTGACATGTGAAACCTCCTGCACCACCGTGGTACACATCGCAAAATCCAGAATAATTCACGTCGGCGCATGCTCGACTAGCGTTAGCGCGAATTTCTTTCTGAAGCTGTTTCCGGACACGCAGTAGCGTCCGCACACCGTCGTTTCGGAGTGGCTGCGCACAACCCGAGCACTGCAACCCAGGGTTCAGCGGGCTTGAAGCCAGCGCTCGGGCGGCCACACATCGCGCAAGATCTCTTGCAAGCCGGCTCCAGTCAGCCGGGCATGGGTCGAGAAGGCGCGCAGCCCCAGGGAACGTGCCTGGCACGAGCATCGCATGTGCGAGAACCGCCCACGTGTGTTTGCCCGTGCAATACGCAGCCGGCACCGTGCGTAGCGCGGACTGCAAACCCAGCCCGCCCAAACATGCGAAGCGGCCTTCAGCCGAGCATGCATATGGTGCCCGTGCATTCCAGGGAGGACCAACAACAGGCACACGACACTCCACGCTCATCGTTTCAACCATGCATTGTGCCTATGTCCCACGACCACAAGCAAAGCATCTGCAAAGCATGCCACAGGTGTGACAACCAAATCGAAAAAATAAGCAGCTCGCCAATGATACAGCTCGATCTCGGAAATATCAGGTCGCTTGAGTAAAAGGCTTTCGAAGCGACCTGAACCATGCTGTCTGGAAACATCTGCTGATCGCATGCATGCATGCAAACCATTTGTGCGTTGTCTTTGAAGGCAAGACTTGTATCCGCTGGCCATCATGTGTGTGAACCACATATATTTTGCCCAACTGACCTTCTTCCTTGGCATGGGTCTTGGTTGTCTGCTGCACGCTTAGACGCATCCCTAGAAGCCGTAGCGGCAGGCGACTTGGTCCTGCTGCATCAGCGGGGTCAGTCGGTTGGTCGGTCGGGTCATACGCCAAGCGGCGCGTCGACAAGCAAGGATCGGCACACCGCACGACGCCAAACAACGGGGTCATGTACAAGTCTGGCTACTTCACGGTGTCCTTATTCTTAATTTTACGGATCCACTCACGTCTCTGTCTCCCAACTCTTCTTATAAATCTATCTGTCGGTTGCAGGCTGCATTGCTCCAGGGATGAGGGCAGTTTGGTGCATCACATGGTCACACATCGCAGGACTTTTCCATAGCAAATCTGTGGCGGCACGATAATGGGCTCGGCGAAGGACTTCAGTATTGGATACCCGAGAGATGAATGCAGGCGGGATACGAAGAATTTGGCTTAGGCAGCGGTTTTGAAAGCCGTTCAATCGTCTGCCTTCGGCTGCAACAAGACAGAAACAACTGAGACTGTACAACAATTTGGACTCGACGAAAGATCTGAAGATGTCGAATTAGCGGTCCTGAGACAGTGAGGAACGTCTCCAGATCTTCTGCAATAAACTCAGCTTTTGCCATACCGATACGACGACCAAGCTCGTGCCCAGATAAACCGTCGTGGGTGAGAACCGATCCTAGATAATCTATACCGGATTTAAACTCAATTCGTTCGCCCGTGGGAGTCTGAATAAGAATGGCAATTACCCTGAAGGAATTGCAATTTATCTCACTGGAGCTCCATCTCATACAATTTGACAACATCCGCCACTCGCGAAACGAGTTCACGGTTTTTTTTTCACGGCGCACCTTTTGGTGCCGGCGAGTGGGAGCGACAGGAGGCTTGCGAAGGAGCGTGCGGCGGCAAAGGACAAAAGCGCACACTACCGGAGGGTGAACGCAGAGATGGCGGCAGCTCTCGAGGGTGGCGGAGCTGCGCGTGCCTTGCACCGTGCAAGCTGTCTGACAAAGGTGGCGGCCTCAGCACTCCAGCGGCCGCCGACTTCAATGAGCCTGCAGCGGCTAAATCTGCACGGCTCGGGGTAGGTGCGCTCTTTGGCTCGTCGTGCCGCGAGCAGCGCGGCGCGACCCTCTGCCCGACGAAATGGCCTGCGGCAGTGAGTGCGGACACAAGTGTAGTGTCGACTGCTAGCTGGCCCCTCCCCCAAACTGGCAGGCCGTTGGCGATGACCTCAATGCGCCGGTCGTCTTGGCGGACAGGGTTGACGTTGAGGTCCCGCACTAGCACATTGAGAGCAACCGTTGCACCAGCCTCGCGGCAAACTCGTGCGGCCGCACGCTCAACGGGGAGTCTGGGGTCAAAAATGTATTTTTTTTGTGTGTCAAATTTTTTTTTGTCTGTTGTTCTACATACACATGTGTCGGCTGTGGTTCTAAGCTTTACGGTTCAGGTTTAGGGATTAGGGTTAAGGGCTTAGGAGGGTTTAGGGTTTCAGACTTGAAGCTTTACGGTTTAGGGTTTAGGGTGTGGGTGTAAGGTTTAGGGTTTAGGGTTGTGGTTTAGGGTTTGGGCTTTGGGTCTAAGGTTTACAGTTGAGGGTTCTGGTTTAGGGTTAAGGACTTGGTTGTAAGGTTTAAGGGTTTAGGGTTAAGGGTTTAGGACATAGGGCTTAGGGTTCAGGATTTACGCTTGGCCGAGACTCCGCCGAGACCCGGCCGAGACCCGGATTTACGGTTCGCCAGGGTTTAGGGATTAGGGTTAAGGGCTTACGAGGGTTTAGAGTTTTGGGTTTTGGGTTGTGCTCTAGGGTTTAGGGTTAGGGTTTGGGAGTAAGGTTTAGGGTTTAAGGTTCTGGTTTAGGGTTTAGGGTTTGGGTGTAGGGTTTAGGGTTTAGGGTTGTGGTTTAGGGTTAAGGACTTGGTTGTAACGTTTAGGGGTTTAGGGTTAAGGGTTTAGGACATAGGGCTTAGGGTTCAGGATTTACGCTTGGCCGAGACTCCGCCGAGACCCGGCCGAGACCCTTTTTCGGGGTTCGCCAGGGTTTAGGGATTAGGGTTAACGGCTTAGGAGGGTTTAAGGTTTTAGAGTTGAAGTTTTACGGTTTAGGGTTTAGGGTTTGGGTGTAAGGTTTAGGGTTGTGGTTTAGGGTTTGGGCTTTGGGTCTAAGGTTTAGGGTTTAGGGTTCTGGAGGGTTAAGGGTTTAAGACATAGGGCTTAGGGTTCAGGATTAACGCTTGGCCGAGACTCCGCCGAGACCCGGCCGAGACCTTTTTTCGGGGTTCGCCAGGGTTTAGGGATTAGGGTTAAGCTTAGGAGGGTTTAAGGTTTTAGAATTGAAGTTTTACGGTTTAAGGTTTGGGTGTAAGGTTTAGGGTTTAGGGTTGTGGTTTAGGGTTTGGGCTTTGGGTCTAAGGTTTAGGGTTTAGGGTTCTGGTTTAGGGTTAAGGACTTGGTTGTAAGGTTTAGGGGTTAAGGGTTAAGGGTTTAGCACATAGGGCTTAGGGTTCAGGATTTACGCTTGGCCGAAACTCCGCCGAGACCCGGCCGAGACCCGGATTTAGGGTTCGCCAGGGTTTAGGGATTAGGGTTAAGGGCTTACGAGGGTTTAGGGTTTAGGGTTTTGGGTTGTGCTCTAGGGTTTAGGGTTAGGGTTTGGGGGTAAGGTTTAGGGTTTAAGGTTCTGGTTTGAGGTTTAGGGTTTGGGTGTAGGGTTTAGGGTTTAGGGTTGTGGTTTAGGGTTAAGGACTTGGTTGTAACGTTTAGGGGTTTAGGGTTAAGGGTTTAGGATAGGGCTCAAGGTTCAGGATTTACGCTTGGCCGAGACTCCGCCGAGACCCGGCCGAGACCCTTTTTCGGGGTTCTGGTTTAGGGTTAAGGACTTGGTTGTAAGGTTTAGGGGTTTTTGGTTAAGCGTTTAGGACATAGGGCTGAGGGTTCAGGATTTACGCTTGGCCGAGACTCGGCCGTGACCCGGCCGAGACCCGAATTTAGGGTTCGCCAGGGTTTAGGGATTAGGGTTAAGGGCTTACGAGAGTTTAGGGTTTAGGGTTTTGGGTTGTGCTCTAGGGTTTAGGGTTAGGGGGTTTGGGAGTAAGGTTCAGGGTTTAAGGTTCTGGTTTAAGGCTTAGGGTTTCGGTGCAGGGTTTAGGGTTTAGGTGTAGGGTTTAGGGTTTAGGGTTTAGGGTTGTGGTTTAGGGTTAAGGACTTGGTTGTAACGTTTAGGGGTTTAAGGTTAAGGGTTTAGGATAGGGCTTACTTAGGGTTCAGGATTTACGCTTGGCCGAGACTCCGCCGAGACCCGGCTGAGACCCTTTTTCGGAGTTCGCCAGGGTTTAGGGATTAGGGTTAACGGCTTAGGAGGGTTTAAGGTTTTAGAGTTGAAGCTTTACGGTTTAGGGTTTAGGGTTTGAGCGGGTTTCTAATTTGGCCTAGGCCTGAACAGATGTCCTGTGTCGTAGACGCCTCACCATGGCCGTGACATGGCCGAGACATGGCCGAGACATTGGAATGTGTATGCCGAGACGTCAACTGAGACATGCCGTGACATGGCCGAGACAATGCGATGCGTGAGCGGGTTTCTAATTTGGCCTAGGCCTGAACAGGTGTCCTGTATCGTAGACGCCTCACCATGGCCGTGACATGGCCGAGACATG